GCATTGGAACTTCAAAGTGCGAGTAGAAGCTATTTTGTAAGCAATATTTTCTACTTTGAGAAGGAAAGATTACAAGACTCCATGACCCATGTTCTTGTCCCAGGACAGGGCTATGTAGCCCAAGCGACTGCAGAGTGGTAGGATAATGGGCGTCACCCATGAGACAACGCCAATTGTGTCTCATTTCACCGCTTTTTACATTTCAGCGCTTAGGCAAATTTAGAAAAAAACTAGGAAATAGAGTAAGATAACACAAACGTCTACAAGAAACCGAATCATAAGATGACCAAAATAAAAAATAAGATACCATAGTATTGGGTATCTGCAACTTTATAAAGAACGTCTTTTGAAGATGGGTAGGAAATGATTTTTGTTGACGTTCAGGCACCTATTTCCTGTTCATTGACAGAAATAGCAGATAGCAGAAATTGATCTTATGTTACGTCGTATGGTTCTAAAAAGTAGATTTTTAGCTCTGGTAAATATGAAACCTTTGAAAAAACTTCTTGGTCAAAAAGGAACAAAAGAATTAAGAAACTTAGTACCAGCCCCGTAGCTTAGTTTTTTTAAATAACTGCTAGACATCCACTAGCCTCCAGTTTCATTTACTCAGCCAGGGAAATTCGATCTAGAATTTTCTTAAAAATGATATTGTGTGTTCCATGGATTTGATTCAATGAGCCAGTGACAGAGGTTTAAGATTTGAAACCGAAAACTGTTTTCAAATTTAGGTCGGAAAATGGTATTATTGAGCCCATTTGAGAACGTCCCATTTACATTAACCTTGCTGCTCATTTGGAAAGTTTTGGAATTTGATCGAAGCTTTATATGTATTTCTAGGTTTTGGATGCCGGTCTATTTAATTTTAAATGTAGAATGTTACAGTCTTTAAACTCTTTGCAAAGGAAACTCTTATGCATTGAGAATATCAATCTAGAATTGTTTGCTATCTTCGTTTTCACTCGCATTCATTTTCGTTGCGGCGTTTTGTGTTCTCTACTCTGTCAATTTATGCAAACGCGAATGTCGGGCATTATTCTAAGCGCCATGTTTGAAGTTTCAATTAGATCCAGTGAATATATCGCATGGTGTTGTTTAAAATGTTTTGAGTGCTATCCGAATAATTGTTAGAGTTAATCTTAAGAGACTTTTATCGAAGGTTGGAATTGCACTCTTAATCAACAAAGCTATCGGCTTGCTTTCCGATGACAAAAAGTGCGAGGGTGGATCGAATTATTTTTCTTTTTATAGGATACACCGAGATACACTACACAAAAGTTAAACAAAACATGGTTCAAGATTTCGAAAACAATTTTCAACTGTTAAAATTACGGATTAACACAAAATGTCTGTTTCTAAAATGAAAATAGGCTGCAAAAGAACTGTTTTGCAGGTGAAAACATCGCCAAAAATAATCAAAGAGCATTTCAACAAGTGTTATTCTTATTAGGAGACTGGTAACTAACTAAGTCTCGCTTTTGAGATCTAATGAAAACGAGACTGTCCGCCAACACCTTGCTTCTTGTAACCAGATATACGCTACAATCTTATCTTTATTGGCATCGAGGCAGGTCCTATTATAGTTGCATCAAAAAGTAGTTGAAGAGTTGTGGGTGACTAAGTATGGGTGAATTGAATAGTTTCTCGTGATTTGGTCGAAATATTTTATTGGCCATTACCACTGCTGTTACCTAAACATCAGCTGGAATACAATACGAGCTTCCTGCTCAAGAAAAGCAATCCGTTCTCAATACATGATGTTATGCTCTATTTTGGCTCAGAATTTTTCTGCTCTTCTGTTCTATCCTAGATGCAAAGTAAGCGGACTGGAAACTAGTGTCACTGGTCAAGTGACATACTGCATAAACACTTGTTTTGATATTGACCACAAACATCTAGTTAGCTTAACTTGGTTTTCTTGTGTACTTGATGTCAGTATATGCAACACACTACTATTTGCCAGGCTATTAATCTGTCTGTTGTTTCGTAATTTGCATTTTCGAACCTGTTACAAATTTATGGGCTTTTAGGTTGCATGCTCAGCTAATGTACCGCATTATTTTGTCTACTCTGGCCCAAACTTGTGTGTGCGCAGTTAGAAAAGTGGCGAAACCGATCGAAGTAGAACCGCTTTAATACAAAATACATCGTCGCTTATTTTCAAAACTTTGACCTTCTGTGTAACTCTTCATTATTTGCTCTAGCAGACAGTAAATTCATAAAAAATTTAGTTTTCAACATGACCCAAGTATGTCTCTATGCACTGTGAAATGATGTCCCTTGTGACATTAGGATCAATCATGTCGTCATGTCTATGGAATTGACATTTTCCATTCGGCCTGGTGTTCTAGAATCAAACAATAAATTTTTAATTCAACTCAACGGGAAGGTAGGAAAAAGGAAACAGAGGAGCCGAGTTGTAAACAATAGAGTCTGCGCGCAGGCTAGATGTTCTACTAATATTGTTGAAGACAAAATGCTTGGTCAAATCATACTTGATCAGGTCTGCATAAGTTAACGTTTGTTGTGGACATAAGAATGGGTTGCTGGCAGGTTCTTAAGCCCTTTGTTTGAGGAAAAACTTGATGCAGAGACTTTTTCGTAGCAGCCATCAACTTTGCCTGGCTAGTTTTAACATCTGTTTTGCGATTGGCTGTTTATCTTTTGAGATAAATTATTGCAAAACATTTCACTTTCATGAAAAATAGCTCTTTTTAAACTGATAAAATTAACCTTGATGAGATACCGATCGTAACATTTGCAATCAAACAGAGGCAGAAACGCCAAATGCACCTCAACATAGCGTTTGCGTTAGTTTTGGTTCCTTGTGTAAAGCATAACTTCAGTCTTATCTTGTTTGAAGTCTTATTCCACGACAATAAAAATCAATGGCCTCTATCTATCCTGGAATATATATATTCTGCATATGTCCATCGTCAATTTAGAATCGTTAATTTCTCAGTCAACCAGGCAAAGTTTTGAAGTCTGCCCATAGCATGTTTTATATCCGATCTTTAATAATTTATATTGCTATTTCATCGACAGCTAGATGTAAAAATGTTTTTATTTGGATAGATGCTAATCAGGGAAGAATTGTGCTCTCTGTTAATTTGACCTTGAAAGGAAAATGAAAAACGGAGAAAAATATTCGTTTTTTAGGACATATTCCTAATGGTTAGGGCTTTTTCGTTTATATCGAACAATTTAAGGAATCATTATAATTCCTGTAATCTGTGATAACTTTTTTGTTCCGAGTACGGTTGCATATAATGATAATTGGTCTTGCGTGTTAGTTTAAAAAGTAACGAGGATACCAGAGTGAAAATAAATTATATTTCTTAAAAGAAAATTATTGCTTTGTTTTTTTAGTTATTTATTTAACTGGTATGTGTAGCAAAAAATAATCTTATTATTCCCCATTTTGAGAACTTTTGGTTTCCTTTTGGCAGATGATTTTGAAGAAGACCTCCCCGAGGCAAAAGAAGTCGAGCGACAGTTTCATGCAATGCTGGTAGGCCGGCTGCTGATGTGGTCATTATTTCTTTCCATGTTTGGTCCGAAAAATTTGCTTCATGCGACCATATTGCATTGGGATAGAATTGCAATCTCCCATGTTTCTTGGATCCAGTGGCGGCGCCAGGGGGGAGTATGGGGGGGGGTAATTACCTCCCCACTTTTTTCGAAACATGGTCTACATATTTCGTCTAAAACGGGTTAAAAAGCACTAGGTAGGGGTAGATCATATTTCCTAAGGAAATTTGACCTGGTAAAAAGCACTGAAACGAAGCGATTAGGGCGTGGTCTCACTGGCCACGCCTATTACCCTCCCACTCGGCAGTAGCTGGCGCCGCCACTGCTTGGATCTATTCCTATTTCTATCCAAAGTCAAACGATTCGTGTTTTGGCTTCTAGAAAGATGCTAAATCCTCAAGGTTTTTCTTTTTTCATAGAATTTCACTCCACTCGCTCACATTTCTAGGTCTTTGCCAACCAGCCTTTGTCGGAGAAAACTAGGTATCGGTGTTTCTCGCATTTCATTCTAGGAATTTAATCAAGATTTTTTGCAAGGTATGAATTAGGATGAAATGCGATACACTGTTTTCATTCAATGAAAGCCGACAGAAACCTTCCCCTGACCTTTTCAACCCCTTAAAAGATTACCATGTCGTTATTGTATGTCATATTGCTCTGAAGTGCAACTTCCAGAGTAGAATGTCACGTTATTTATTCTATTGGCATATTTTATTTCAGCCACCTTTTCTTTATAGCTCGTATCTAGCGTTCTGGCCAATAGTATACAACAATAAAGTTGTATTCTTTAAAATCTCGTAAACTGTATCAACTATAAAACCATCCTGTCCATACTCGTGGAGGCAGTATGTCTGTGACGGCAAGAATTTCATCGACACGCCCTAAGAACATCCACTTTTTCAAACTGAGATGGGCTTTATAGAGAAATGGCAGAAAACAAACTGTGATCGTACTTTCCCTAATTTTGCCTAACTTTTGCAGTAATTGAGATCACGTAGTTAGCTGTACTCGTTTAGGAAAGACATCCTTAGCTGCTATCACGATAAATTTGTTGCCTTGAGTGAGCTTCCACTCAGATGGAGAACTATATCAACCTTCAATACATTCCTGCCACCCCTTGCACCAAGCGTCCAGTTGTTATAATTGGAATTCCCGTTCTGCTTTTCCCTCTTCTGTAGCTTAATCAAACATTTCGCCAAGCCTGGTGACTTGTTTAATTTTGTATCTGCAAATAGTCCACTCCATTATAATTGGTCTTTGCAAAAGAATACTCTCTAGTCTTTTTCTTATATTAGGATACCATAGAGTTGTCAACAGAAAGGATTTTGGAACTAAAAGGAACGTCTTTAGGTCACAAATGGAATATGGTTAAAGCACACGTAAGTACCATAATTTTTTGTTAGCTTTTGACGTCGATGACTTCATATCGACATTAAGTATAATTTTAAAGTTCTCGCACCCGTAGCTAAAAATATTTGATATCAGAGATGAACCAGTTAGAGAAAAGTGAATTAACATCTATTTCTATAGACGATAGATTTGCTTCAGACTATTTAGAACCAATTAATGTCAAAAGGCATTTGGTTAAAGTAAGTTGTTGGCAAAACGTCTTGCTTTGCCATTTTCTGGCGGTACAGAACTTGAGGGTTTCACGCAACTGTGTTTTTGTTATTAAAAAGCTTTTTCTTCTGACAATTCTGCTCAGGAGATAAGCTTTTAGCAATGATAGCGTTTTTCAGTGAAATCTTTTAGCTTGAATCGTTGGATAGGACGGTTGACACTTTCTCTTAGTGTCTACAGTAACAATTTGAAGCAATATGTGCGCATCTTCTTGATCATCCACTTTTTGGTTGCTGCTAAAGCGAAGAGATGAAATGATATGAATAACGTTGGCAAAGAGTCCCTTCAATTTTTCCGGAAAGCTTCTTGAAATCGAGCTTACACTAGAATTGAAAAGGTAATTATTTATGAATGAAGTTGAGTGTAAAACAAAAACTGCATTCACCAATTTCTGATAGCTAAGAATTAGTACATCAGGGTCGAATGAAAAGTCGCTTTATTTCAACTGGATGTTTTCAATGATTTTCTTGTCTTGAGTTTACTGTGACCTCCAGACCAACAGATGTTTTTAACAAAGAGGGAAGTTCAGATTCAATGTGCTTAATGCCCTGAGTGCAATAAGAATTAAAGCTGCTTTTAACAGATGGAGTATTTTTATTCTTTATTTGGAGCTAGGCATGCCACACTGACTAGTGCTTCAAAAAACGAGGTAAATTGTCTGAGTTTATTAACTGCTGCGTTTTTTTATCAAAAGGACTTATGTTCAATTGGCAGGATTCCAGGGAATTAATTTTTTAAACCAGTATAGATATCATTTTCAAGTTTATATTTAAAAATGCTGGCAATCCTCTTCCTAAATGTTGTCGCTTTCAAGCAAGTTCGGATAATAGCATACACCAACTTTGAACATGGAAAATTTCATGATATGAAGTGCAAAATTTTTTAGGCGTAGTCTTCGAGTTTTTTGCAGAAAATTGTCCATGTATATTAAGAATTTTAAATAAACATATCTCTTTCTACCTGCAATAACTTTTAGGTACATGTCATACGTGTTATCAAGTGATAAGATAAAGTATTCATTCCAATTATTAACAGTATCTCAATGTTACAGCTAGTGATGATGTAAAGTAGCTAGAAGTGTTTTAAAAAGTTATAGCAGGAGATGTTAATAGCACCGTTTTAATAACAGATCTGTGCATGGAATCTTCCTTAAGAGAACCTTGAGTTTTATGTTACAGTGATTCCTGCCATGGAGTCACACCCATAATTGATCACTCTCATTGCAATTTTGTGCTCAGTGATAACCCACTAGTGTCATTATGAGTTACAGCTGTATTCTTGTAACATTTCCGGTTGAAACCAGTATGCAGCATGCACAATGGGCTGCTTTGCTGTCCTTATGTTGGTTTTTTGGCGTCCATATTTCAATTTCAGAAATATATCAGTGACAGGCAAAAGTAAAGGCCTAGCAGTAAAGGCCAAGCAGTTTAGCCCAAGCAATATAGGGCCATCAGTTAGGCCCAGCAGCAGAGGATCAGCAGTTAGGCCCAGCAAAAGAGGACCAGCAGCTGGGCCAAGCAGTATAGGCCCAGCAGTATAGGCCCAGCAGTATAGGCCCAGCAGTATAGGCCCAGCAGTATAGGCCCAGCAGTATAGGCCCAGCAGTATAGGCCCAGCAGTATAGGCCCAGCAGTATAGACCCAGCAGTGTAGGCCCAGCAGTATAGGCCCGGTAAAATTGGATATAAAGAAACCAATAATGCTAGGCCTATACAAAATCTTTAAACGCAGAAGACATGATTGTTGTAGAAACGTACTGGAAATTGTATCTTCATAGTAAAGGCTGAGGCCAGTGGTGGAAATTAAGCCTTTCGGGCAGGCGCAGTGGACTTGTTTTAGGGGCCTTTTCTTTTGATTTTCCTATGCTGAATAAATGTGCATATTCCCAGTCATATCCGATTGCCCCAATAACTCTCTTATGTTTTTCAACTTTAGCTGAGACTTGTGAGAAGGAAGTCAGTTTTGGCAGACTCCCAAAAGGAATTGATTTCACTGGAACCTCATTCCTGACCTTGTTTTCAGCTTGATATATGTTTATCAGTCTGATAAGCCGAAACCCAGCACTTTCATTCACGCCTATCCCACAGCCTTTCCCACATCTAGTCTTGGATCTTTTGTCAATCTCTTGGTTGCCTATTTGCTTCAAGGCTCAAAAATGTACATTCGCTCGCATATATTTTTTACATAAACATGTTCTGGTGAGCGAGAAAAGAAAAACGGTTGAGCTTTGACAGTATTTTGGTTGTGGCAAAGATGTGAGGACTGGGAAGGGTGTGACGTTAGAGAGGGTGTTCTAAGAGTTTCATTGCTTAACCCTCCCAGCATGCCCTGTCTTCTTATAAGGACGCAAAATAATTTTTTGGCTGATAGCTCTTGGCAATTAATCTTTTAAGCCTGTTAAATATTGATCACTGCAAGTTTGGAGTGGCAATGTTTCTCTGCATTTTCACTTCTAATTTTATCGCTTGGAAATGCTGAAACGCTGTTAAATCCCCCACTTGTTATATTTCATAGCTAAAGTCATATACATTGTCAAACCATTCGCTTTTAACATCAACTTAGAATATGTGAAGTTGGTCTGGTGACCGTATTATTATAATTGAGAATTTTTTATAGCAACCTGTTTTTCAACGCTAGAAGATGGATGTATTTGCGGTGGAATTTTAACCTGCTTGTATACAGAGCCTGTCCAACAATTCTTAGTCATAAGATATCGCTTATAATCGTTTCGATAATCATGAATGAGCGGCATGCCATTTTTTATATTAGAATGCCGTATAGGTTTATTTGTTATTCTGCGTGTTTGATGTTGAGAGGAATTCGTTATACTTGGAGCGAAATCCAAGAATGAAGTGGACGCTTTTATGACTGCGTAGGGAAATTAAACAGATGAAGACAAATTGATTCTGGGAACTGCACCTTTGTGTAAGCAGCCACCAGCAAATGGAGCAAAATTGCGTTATTATACCTCCTCTTCGACATGGGCTTCTGAATAGAATTAACGAACAAGAAAGGATAGCAAGGGTTTGATCGACAGTTCACGCTTAGAAGTGGAGCTGTTTTGGTTTAACTGTTTTCAACAACGTAAACGCATGACCTTTGGAGATTTGAAGGAAAATTTTTGCACTGAAATAGCCTTATTCAGTTTCTTGATGAAAGAAATTCACGCAGAGGAAGCCATCTGGTTTATTGTTTAACTGTTGCTGTTTATAGACGATAATTGTGTTATTCAGAGAAAGATCTTAATAGACCAGAACTCCGTTGCTGTCACTGTTGTTATATGCTTGCAAATTTAAATTTGCATCCCAGTGGAGCAATCTCTAATTGATCAAAACAAAGACAACAGAGCCTACATTTCAAAGGATAAGCAATGTAATGGAAAGTTGTAGCAAAACAGTTGCCTTTGTCTAAAGCAAAACCTTAGCAGACTAGCTTAGTTTTAATGAGAGAGAATTATCAAGATGATGAGCAATTATTGGTCAGTTTTCAGTGAACCTGACAATGACTCACTATCTGTTAAGAGCAGGACATCTCCACGAGACGACATGTCTCTGCTATCTTTTGACCTGGAGGTTAGAAAGTTTTTGTTTGGTTTCTTGCATGGTGCACCGTACATGTTGAAGTCACATTTCAATAAGGATACGAAAGCATTTGCAATTTTAGATTCTTAAATTTTTTTTATATCACTGGCATTTGGATGTGATATTATTTGGAGATTTTTTTTCTATTTTGTATTTGTTTCTACCTAGCATCCGAAGGTAGTCTTTAGGACACTGAGAAGCTTATGATTATCGAGCAGTGTCCTGGTCCTTCCTCTCGATGTGACCGCACCTCGTGATTCCTATGCCTGGAATTACAGAGAGCTGGCAACTCTCCTCGCTCTAGGTGAAAGTTGGGTCATGCCAGGGACTCGAACCACGGACCCTTGGGTCTGTAGTCAACGTCTCTAACAACTGAGCCATTCTCGCACTAATTTTTGCAACGTCATACTGAAACTGTAATTGTTTTGAAGATGCAGCTGAAATAGGGCCTAAGTTTGAGTGCACTGTAGTCGTATGGCATTTGCAATACTGCTGATACATATTCCACGTATACATTTTTAGCAAGTGAAGTCTGTATGTGAATGTGCAGAAAACACCTTTTAAATCAAATTTGTTGTTTTGAAGCTTTGCTAGGGACGAATGTCGTCTTAACCTGATCATAGTTTTAATGCAGATTGAAAGGCCTAATTTAGACTTATGGTAGCAGAAACTATCTACACAAGTGGTAGAAGCTCCTGCTAATGGAAGTAGCACGCTAATATCTTTTAGCACGCATTTTATGATTTCCTTTGGAAACAGTAGTTAAATTTGTTTATATGTTCCCAAAGACTGGCCAGTCAGGATATTTGTACGGTATTTTCACTTGTTGGAGTTTAAGAAGAGCAACAAAGCCTGTGTTCTAGCCAAACACATGTTGTCTTGGTATGAATCAAGAAAAGCCTGTTAGAATAAATCCGTAATAAGCTATTGTCGAATGATAAACTTGCTTTTATGCATGGAAAGTGTGTAGCAAATGGGTTTTACAGTGTGTCTTAGGTTATAGGTTTAACAAGGACCTTATCAATTTGCTTATACCTAGAGATCAAATGTCCACATGGAGTATTGTCTCCCCAAGGCTCTAAGAAATAAGCCCATTTTGATCCAATGTTGCTTTTCTTACTCTAATATGTTTCCCTTTTCTACACTCTATTCTCATATCTTTATTTCCTCACCTGGCAGGAAAAACATGTGTCAGACTATATTTCTACCAATATGTTTGGTATTATTGTATATTTTTGGCTATATATTCATTAATTTAATTTCGGGTTACCTTACTAACAATGCCGATCTAACCTACAGACTCAAGAACACTCTCGGGGTCTTCAACGCAATTCAGTGTTAAGAACATGTTATCCAGCGCTGTATTATTCAATCCAAAATGATATCAAATCGAATTATGTCAATGACACACTGATAATGTCCTTCAGGAAAATCAACTAACAAAGAGAGCATTTAGCACCCTTCTTGTTAATGGAATTTTGGTTTATTAATGATAGTTTCTTTTAGGACGCAATGCAAGATGGAAAGAGAGGCCCGCGCTTTTACCTTGATCAGCTTGAAAAGCACCTTAATCCACAGTTGTATTCAAAGCACCCGTCCAAAAAAATGCTTAAAGGTATCATCAATGTGGAACTCCTTCTGACGTCACTGGAAGTAGACCTTCGATCAAGTCCAAATCCAACGTAAGATTTTCAACGCTTCGTTTTAGTCTTTACTGTTCATGGGAAGGAGAATATCGTAATATAGTTGTATGACCCAGCTTTCAATGCCTCTAATGATCGTAGCGTAGCTTGTAATATTATTTTTGTGTAGAAGTCAACGAGGAAGAAACTTTTTTAGCATCTTGAAGAAAGTTTAAGTGTATCAAGATAATGTAACGACCGCTTTGTTCACATAGAGACCGGGAAATTATGGAACAGAAATCCTGCAGGCCTTTGTAGCTGGTTCATACAAAGATTCATAGTAGTTTTTAGTTGGTCTTATGCCTCAGTAAAAGTTTAAGGCCCTGGTAAGGGTGAGCCATTTTTTTAGGATTTTTGTCATGAAATCATGACATAAAAGGATTTTACCCGGAATAATACTCAAAACCGCACACACAACAATGCAAGGCGAGCACAACCTGAAAAGAGAGGGGGGCAAGTATTTTTTTTTTCTTTCCGCATGATGAAATTTGCAGAGCTCCAATTCCTTGGAACCAGGCTTTGAACCTGGGTATTTCCTTGGAACCATGCTTTGACTTCCTATTTTTCCACTAGGCTGGTGGCGTTTGGCTCAAAAACAATATTGTATAATCTCCAAGGCTAGAAGTATACATAAGTAAAGAATAAAGTTCTTGAAATTGTCTTTGAGTGGCTTCAAGAACAGGCTGTCGTTCATCTAGACCCTTAGTGACCCAGACAATGCATAACAGTTGTGGCGTTCGCGAAAAGCTAAATAACTAGGTTAGAACATACCAGGAAGTTTGCTTCAAGAGCGTTTTGAATGAAAAAGGTATCGCCATGACATCCTGAGACAGGAAAAATATTACAACAGACATCCAAGAAGCATTCCATTGATTTGTCGCTTAGTTTTACTTTTTCTCCTGGTTTGCCAGTGTAAATTACTCAGTTTTACTATCGTTGTAATGTGAATATCAATGGATTTTTGGTTCAATTCAAATTAATTTTACATAGATAATAAACAAGAGTTGGTTTTTGAAGAGATTTTTCTCTGACCTCAAGGAGGCGTGCACGAGAAAAGAATTCCTTAAGTTTTTCTACAGCGAAGGCGTGGGCTTATGAAGTGCTCGTGAAGTGACGGCCTACGCTAGATAGAAGGCGTCAGAATTCAGATGCGTTCTACTCCGACCATAAGCTAATCCTCTAATGGTTTTAATATCCAGTGGAAATTCCCTGTTGATAAGTTATGAACCCCTTGCGCAACAGGCAAAAATGGGCTCATCTTCAATTATCCGTCATAAAACCCTGCTGATGCTCTTCGGTATTATTCACTAATCTGTCCTGACCAATAGATTTGTGGTCGCCTTTGCTGCCCCCATCTTTAGATGAATGGAGATTTCATCCAAAACCACTGCTTAACAAACAGACCCATCGTCATCACGTACTTTCTCCCGACGATTTTTATATATCTTCTCATCTTCTCTCAAGCTCAAGGAAATACACCTTTTTGGAGAAAGAGAGAGTTTAGAATACTATGCAAATGCCGTATGTACATTTACAACCAGACTCAAGTACAGTCTGACCCCTTCTGCTATAGTGGGCTCTTTTTGTGGTGCAGCAACCGCACCAGGTTAGCTTCTTCTTTTTCAATGGTTTTTGCAATTCTTTGTTCAAGGAACTTTTTGGAGTATTCGCAGTTTACATCCTTAGCTCTTTTATGCTATAAATGCTTGTTTGCTTTTATCCCTAAACTAGTTCCGCTGTTTCTTATTTGAAGTGTTAGAATCGGGCATTCGATCCACTTTCAATACTTACTTTCATCTTTTGGCCCGCCCTTATTTGTGTAGTCCTGTTGCAATTTTCCGGGTACATAACGTCAATTAAATGTTGGAAAATATTTAGAAAGTTAGGGAGTGTGTAATATTCCTATTCAATATCACAAAAAAAAGTTCTGTTGTGTATGAATTCACGTGCCAGTGTGATTCTGGCTACGTAGGACGCACCACCCAAAGATTGGAGGATAGGATAAAACAACACGTTCCATCTAATATTAGAAACAAAACACATCCCCAAAGAGAACAGCCACCTCGGTCTTGCAAATCCAAAATTACTAATAAGACCTGCGATTCTGCTTTCGGGCAGCATTTGCTAGAAAACCCAGTTTGTGCAAAAAACTATAATGGCGACATGTTTCGGATTATTGGTAAAGCCCGATCGTCGTTCCACCTAGCAGTTTTAGAATCTATCTACATAAGCACAAAAAAACCGCTACTGTGTAGACAAAAGGAGTTCGTTTTCACCTTAGGACTCCATTGGTAACATTCTAATAGGCAAGCGGCACTGATTGGTCAACCTTTACAGTCATGTGCTCATGTTTCTGATTGGCCTATTTCGATCCACAACTGGGTATATATATTTCTTAGCCTAGAGTTTTCGATCTATGTTCTGACGTTTTAAACTCTGAAGAGTGTCAGACGAAAAGCTTTAGTTTACTAAATGTTTGCTTTTTTCAAAGCTATTTACAAGTTTTGTACCACCAAAAGATTGTTTGCATATTCCTATTTCGTACAACTTTTAACTTTTAACCTCCATTCTGCTGATTCTACAAGATCCTCCTATTGTCAACCGTTTTTTCAAAGGTGACATCATCGCTTTAACTAGCTGTAATTCAATTCCTTTGAATGTCTGAATTGTGCAAGGTGGTTAGATGCCTGGTAATCGCTGGCTGAAACCGGAGTGACAATAGAATCTGAGTTCAACCTGTGGTTTCCAACGAGTTCGTGTTCGCGGAAGATATGGTTAATCCTGACAAGGATGAAATTTTAATCCTAGAAAAGATTTTTGGATTAAAACGTTATTTGTTGAAGTATTGTAAATGTGATTAAATCTAAGAAGTCATTCAACACAATTCCAAGTCAATCCCTTAAGTTGGTTGAGAAATTTTGAAGTCCATCTGTAGCAAAGATGTGTATGTCACCTAGTCGTCAGGTGGTGTAACTGTAAATTACTCTTAATGCTCCCCTTTTTGTCACATTTTCCTAACTGGGTGTCCAAGATACTTTTTGATTTGGTTCTTCATTCAATTTCTGAATCTGAAAAAAAGATTTTTTTGGACCGTGACTTCATTTTGCTACGGCACAAGAATTTCTACTTATAATGGGTCTTCCTGAAAACTAGTTTCAATATGCTGGGTCTAGAGAAAATGTGGTACTTTGTCTGAGTTTGCGTGAATTTTGTATTGATTTACTTATTTTGGGTTTTTCGTGAACATCCAGTTTCCTACCTCCATCTTGCTAGCCTTTCTATCGCACAGACATCTGTCTATGTTCTGTGGAAAATCAGTCACGTGCTTGTCTTTAACGAGTGAGCAGTTTTAGTGAAAGTAGCTTTATCTATGTTGAAGTCATTTGAGTTAAAAAATAGTTTTATTCATGTAACATTTTCTGTGCTTTGAGAAAACCGTGCCAAACCCATTACGCTTGAGCACATGAGTATAGACCTTTTCTATCAAGAACGATTACATCTTTAATGAGACTCTTCTGAAAGAGGACAACTACACTTTCATTTGTCCAGTCTCCATATTCAGTTTTAGTATTGGTGATTCTAGCCTCGAGCCTGTCACTTTGCAAAGCTATTAGTTGTCACTAATTATAAATCTTAAATAAAACCCGCTTTCTTCCAAGCTACCTTTGTCCTGGCCCTCGGGGTCAGGAAATCCAGACACTGCGGAGTTTCGGTCACTTTCCTTATGCATTTTATCTGATATGAAATTTCTTCTAAGGTGTGGAAGAGAATGTCCACGTAAAAGAGTAAACTATTAAACGGCACAAAAATACGAATTATGAGAATGCTAGTAGCTTTTGTACCAAATTAGCAAGCTTCTGTTTTTTGAGTTAAATCATTAACAGGCCTGTCAGTTAATGGCAGCGCCAGCCACTAAGCTCTGGGGGAAACCAACCAAAAAAAATTGAGCCACGCCCTTTTAACCACCAGAAAACGCCCTTTTACCAACAGGGAACGCCAGTTTTGTCCGAAGTGAACGCCTATGACTAACTTTTGTTTGAAAATTGGCAGTTTGAAAACCATAGGATTACATCACAAAAAGCACGGTGTCAAAATATTACCCCTCCCCCAACATTTTCTCATCGAATTTGGACAAAATACAAAATCGGTTCTGCTGAGAACTGGGGGAGGGACGTGACCCCCCCAGCCCCCCCCCTCCCTGTGGCGCCGCTACTGCTGTCAGTAACAGAGACAATACACTGCTTGGGAATCTTTTCTCGGTTTTAGATCAAGGCCTCGGCATTTAAATTCTATTTTTTGGTCGTACATTCTCCTTTCCAAAGGCTATTTTAGGAGCTATGTGTACCCAGAAGATTTTTCCCTGAATTTTGTTGTTTTGTTTATTCGGGTGTTTCGAAAGTATTATGTATTCTATCCATTTATGTTGCTATTCAGTTTTGCGGAAGCTTTAACGTAAATCTTATTATCTCTGCTTAACTCTTGAAATAGCTCTTGATCTTTTTAAGTCAAGAGAAATTTCTCAGAAATCACCTCTCTCATTTAAGAATATAGAAAATTGTCCGGCACTTTAACCTGACAGAGAAGAGCAGCCCCGAAATCTAAGAAGTGATGGCACCGGGATTCAATGGATTGAAATTAGAGAATAGATCATTAATCCTTCTCTGCCTTAATTAAAGGGTAATTCTTTAGTGGTTAATAAAATTAACTCCCCATTTGCTCGTTAACCTTTTATTGCAATTAATCCTATTCTTGGATTAAGCTTTAGATTGCGTTCTACATCTTGAAGGCTTTATTTGCCTTCAGGTCAGTTTTATGATCTTATTCAACTATTGTCTCGTACACTTCTATGTTTCATTTATCACTGTATAACGACACACCCATCGTCACGTTTTGAATAGGGTCATGGGTCTCGTGCTGAATTTCAGTAGCAAAGTGATTGAATATCTCGAAATAAGTGGTTCGAATATCTCGAAAACTGCCAACGTAGGGAAATTCGTTTTTATATCATCCCCAAACTTTTTTACTTTCTAATTTTTCACCCCAAAAGCTTTATACTGACGTCAGTGCAACGGTGCGCTGTCTCTCCTGTCTGTCACCTGTTTCCCGTGACAACCATTTCTAGAAAGACGATACGTACTCATCTCTTCTTGAAATCGTTCCATGTCATCAGATTACAGTCAATAGATTTTTCAAAATAGGATCTTTTTACAAAATAGGACTTAGTAGCCTTAACCTATTTACAGTATAACAGAATAATAGCACATACTAGTTTTCAAGTAATGTGACGTTTCCGCAGTTACGTGGATTTAGATTACCTGCTAATGGAGTTCAACCCTAATAATCAAGCTTACATTTGTTAGCTTTAGTTGTTAAGCAGCGTTCAGTTTGACTAACCGATTCTTTGGAAATGCAGCACGGACAAAATCAGAAAAACCTGCACAAGCAGACTTCCAATCGTTACTTTACCCAACGAGAACTGTAATCAAACTGAATTTCTGTACCCAAAGTGTTCTAAGAAAGAACCAGACGAAAACGAACTACCGTACAAGCATGAACACATGAACAGAATATGATAAAATATGAACAGAACATATTTCTGAGCTTGATTCACTGCTATGGTTACTGGGATGAAGGATTAGTTGATTTATCAAGAATGCCACGCCCCTTTACATTCCTTTTCCACAAGGAATGAATTCCGTTTAAAGAATATTCTTTTTGGCAAATTCAGTTGCATGTCTGCTCAAAAGTATTGATAGGTTACTTTGTAAATTATTAACCTTGTAAATGCTTTTACAGTTCTGTAGTAAGGATAGTTTTATTAGGGGCACAATGGTTTGAAGAAAATAGGAACAAATGGGATTTTTTTAGAAACAAAAGATTTTCATGATTTTTGGAGAGGGCCTTGCCCCCACTCCGCCCCCCAAGAACAAGAGTAGCTGTGGCCCTATATTTATCTTTGTTTGAGGGCTGAAATGTCTCTCTAGTATAAACTGTTTAGATGATTATTTATTCTTTTTTTAAAGCTGAAACTTGTTTAAGAAAGGTCCATTGGTAATGACTACTTTCTTGGGTTGCTACTTCAAGATGCTAGTTACAATTGCATACAGTATGTTGAGACGTTTCTCGACGTTTTCTACCTACAGGGCCTCTGATTTCAAGCACTGCTTTTCAGCGGCAGCCCTGGTTTGCAGTTGAACTGCCTAAAATGTTTATTGATATCTCTTGCCATTTCTTCCTGCAATTGAACATTATAAATGCTGTTGAAATCATTAACTTTTATCACATTTTTTCGAAGGTGGCTTCGTGAATTTGTCGATGAACCAAATTGTGGCCATATCGTCCTACTGAAATTTCTGAATCATGTGCAGCAGTGCGTCAGTGGTGGACAAATCACTCCAAATGGGACACCTAAGAAGAAGTATGAAATCCTGTCTAAGGACTCGGTAGGGATAATATATTTTACCACATGTTATATGGCCTAAGCAGTTCTATTATAATCATATTTTCAATTAATAATTCGTAAACATGGCTGATTGGAAAAAGTAGCGAGTTTTAAATAAACTTCATTTTTATTCCTGTGCTTTCATTGTTCATTAACTTTGTTCAATATTTTCTCATTACTTGCTTTGATTTTCTGTTTATGTTATGTTATGTTATGTTATGTTATGTTATGTTATGTTATGTTATGTTATGTTATGTTATGTTATGTTATGTTATGTTTTGTTATGTTCCATTGTCTGTACATGCAGCATTGTTTGGGAGAGAGTAAAGCTTTTTCTTAACAAATCAACGTACAAGTAGTTTGGTCCAAGCCAATCATGTCAATTAATCAGCATTTATAACAGTCGTGCATGCAACCTATATGGACACATTGCCCTTATAGTTTGCTTTGAATCTTTGTTTTTGCATATGCCTTCGAAAGTAACTTTGTCATAACATCTCTGCTGGTCACCGCTATCCCAAGAGAGCTACCTACATCAAACTACCTAATTCCGATGCAAATTCCCCCTATCTTCACTCTGCTACTTGATCTTTATTTCTGCAGTATGACGAACACCTTTGCCTGCTGTGTATTAAAGCAATAACAAAAAATAAGGTAAGAAAAGAGCTTATTTTGTTATAGTACCCCTCGCGTCCTTTGTTGTTTCTCCTTCAAATTTCTCTGATCTATTTACTAAAATTCGCAATATCATCGTCCATTATTTGACCCAACACACTGAAGCAAAGAATTTTAAATCTATCAGTATTTCATACATTAACCTACCAACCAACCTACCTTGATACTTTATTCAGTGACAAATAGCTTCATATCATTTTCTACTTAGCTTCATACTTATTCATACTGTACAAACTGTGTTTTCGGATGATTTATTAAAAGCAGGGCTCTACAGAAAAGCTGGTTTTGCCAATCATGATCCTGTCACAGAGTTCCCAAGTAATTTTCTGTCAATTGGATTAGTTACTCACTCATTTTAGTAACACGATTGGTAAACACAAAGGATTGGCTCTTGTGCTTCTATAGCTTATGAAGCTCATTTTTGTTTCTTGTTTCCTTGTTTTGTCAGTAAAAAGGATTCATCAGCTTATCATTCCATTACCAATGCTTATTCAAGGAGATTGTATTTAAAATTGACTTTAATCTGGGCAATGTCGTGCGCTTCTGCATACAGCCTACATTCAATATGGAGGCTATACCGATCGAAAGTCTCGTGCACCGATCCACTTAGATTGGTTTCCAGTGCCTATCCGTACAAAAACAAACTGGGCTGCTTTTTGAAGTAGAATAAGCTTAGTTATCCGTACAAAAACAAACTGGGCTGCTTTTTGTAAGACGAGTTCAAAAGAGTAGCTGGGATCCAAGGTGATTTGGCTAGGAAACAAATTTCAAAGCATGTATTCAAAGCTTTCTAAAGTGGCAGAAGGATATGATTCGACGTCAGTCAATGTCATGATATCTGCGCCAAACTCCACTCATTTCCCATTGAAGACACATTCATCACACTCATTTCACATGACTATGCCACTGTATTTTGACGAATCCTGTTAGACCATTCCCAGCGCTTATCTGTTCGGTTTTGATCGAAAGTATCACTTCAAATGAGCCTTCGTTCTCTTTTCTTTGCTTCTTAGATCGAGGGCTGGGGCCTATCAACAATATCTTTGTAACCTGCATACCATATTGTCCAAATAAGAACGCATTTGATATCCAAATTAATTAGCTTTTCATCGATTCTAGCCCTGTGGCATTTTCTAAGCCATGGGGATGTAAAAGACAAGTAAAGGATGATCCAAATAAATTGAAACAGCTTTTATTACATTGTCACCAAAATCATTTAACAATATGGTAACAAAATAGTTATCTTCAGAGTAGAAAACGTTAAGATCATGATAGGAAATTTTACACTAGGAAAGAACATATACCCAGTTGTTGTGAATCGAAATAATGTTTATGCTGTTTATACATTGTTCACTGAGTCATTCTTCTCTAAAGTCTGTAGTTATTCGTTTTCAATTCCTGTACGTTTGAAGTGTGGTGTAAGACTACTAGTGTAATCGAAAGTAAAGGCGAATAGAATTTGTAGTGGCTGGTATGGGAGTGCTTTTGATAAGCCAGAGCAGTGATTGGTTTGAGGACCGTTAAATATTGTTAAAGTACATACATAAATAAAGTATATGTATCTGTAATTCAAGACCAATGTTAGTTCCACTTTTATGAAGGGAAATGACGTTTAATGAATCCTTTTTTTCTAGTATGGATTCCAAACGATTCTTAGTGCTCCACGAAGTTTATCCCTTATGGCCAGGAGCCTGAGGCTGAACAACATAAAAACACGGACCACTGTGCTAAAGGTCTCGCATTTGCATTTTAACTTAGCACTGACATGTCAGGCTTTTCTTTATTACACAGGAAAAAGGTTTTAGTTTTGGGGAAGATTGTTGAACGATTGAATTTTCAAAATGTATTTAAAGGTCTGTTCAATGATAAAGATGTTTACTGTCTACTTGTCTGTCATATTCAATCATTCAGTTGTGTCTGAACATATCTATTTATTATTTGTTAGGCTCATCAGTTTTATTCATCTGTATTGTTTGTTTGAAATCCATTTTTGTTTATTTTTCAATCTTTATAATTTGAGTTGTGTCTGCAGCTGTTGACACAAGCATGCGAGCAACCAGATGGCCACGAAAAAGTGTTGAAAGCAATGGATGACTTCAAGATGTACATAAGTGAAAAATACCGTTTCGAAAGCCTTGTTTTGTCGATCATGACTAGGCCGTGTAATCCAACCTACCAAGTAAGAAGCATAAAACATAGCTGTTTGCTTATTCAAGATTTTTTTTTCATTTTCTGTTTGTATATATTAATATATATATAAATCATATTTATATATATGATATAATTTAGAGGTGAAGAAAATCAAACTACATGTTTAATTTCTGCAAGCCTGTTTCGAAACAAGCTTAAACAAACTTAAGCAGAGATTAAAAATGTAGTTTGATTTTTTTCAGCTCTAGATTATATCACACTCTACGTGCAAACGTATTGAGCACTGTGCTACGGAAGGTTCAGCAGAAAATGTTCTCAGTATCTACGATATGTATATTTACGTGTATGAATGAAAAACTCGATTCTACTTTTGAGATCAGTGCTTGATGCCAGCTTAATGAGCAAAATAGAATTAAAGTGGTTGGAATCAAGTATCAAATTAGCTACATTAATATTGTAACTCAGGGTTTCACACACTTAGCGGTCATTAGAAAAAAATAGCCTGCGAAAAAGAATTTCTAGCCTACTCGATTAAGTTTGTAAGCCAATAGAAAAGTTGGTGAATGAAACCAGTATATTATTCTTTGTAGTATGATGGTACGCAGTTATTTGCTTAAAAGCTTCTCTAGATTCTCCAAAATAAGTCTTGTTTGCAAGATTGGTAAGGAAATTTGCTTTTCTGTTACCCAAAATGTCTTCTATCACTTTTTAAAGCTTCTTCTCAAAGAAATTGCGAGTATTTACTTTCAGAGCATGAAAGCTTGATAAAACTGTATATTATTCCTCCTAAGTATTTTTATGAAATTGCAACGTTCTGGTTGTCATTTGTCCTTCAGTGCACATTTCTGGTATTATTTTGCTTTGTTTTTAACTTGGCCTTTTCATCGTGGTTTTGATATTTAATAAAAGCAATTCTTATACTAATTTTCTTTCTCGCAGCAAACAGTCTTGCAGTTTCTGAATGCTATCATCACTCAATCACCATCTCCAAATCTGAGAGTATATTACCAACAGGAAATTGAAAATGCGGGTTTTGTTGCTGATGCCGTTGAAGAGGTATTTCAGATTTTTCTGAATATGAGCTCGAAATACATCTAACTAAAACTTTGTTTTACATTCATCTTATTTTCTGTGTAGATTGACGCTGTTGCTTGCTTTTAGATAAACAACTAGGCAAAGGAACATAGATGACAACAAATCAGCCAATCAGATCTGTAACCAGCTAATTAATTCGCATAAAAACAATAGAATTTGCTCAAAATGTATTAAAGAGAGGGCATCTGACTCGCTTAAACATTTTGCATCCTTATTTAGCAAAGTGTTAATCGACTAAACATTCCTAATACAAGTAAACAAAATAAAAAGGATGAAGAATGTTTTAAATCAATCAGATGGGTTGTCTTCATCTGTCTTGGCCCGATGAATTCATAATTGGCACAAATTCAAAATATGGAAAATACATCTATTAAGCTTAAATCATTTAACATACTTATCAATAAAAGGAAAGTTTTAATTGATTACTGTTTATTCCTTAAACAACTAAACAGAGTAACAGGGATGAAAAATGTCTTAAACCAATCATTCTGGTAGTCTACTTCTGACACAAGCCAGTGATATGACGTTAAAGTTAATAGCAATGGCATGAAATAGAAATATAGAAAAAGACATCTGATTTGCTCAAAAAATTTCTCATTTTTGTTAAGCAAGCATTTATAGATCACTGTTCATTGCCTTTATTTGCTGTCGAAAGTCAGCCACTCCGACATTTGCATATGCCATTTTTATGTATATGCTTGCATATGCTTGGCTATATGTCTATGCTTGTTTTTGCATATGTTTGGTCAGTTGTAGCTTAAAACCATTCTCTCTCGCCATTATGTGAACGGATTGGATAGCCAACAATACAGTTTGGAATTTTGTTCGTTATTAAAAAATTTGATCCGGACTTGGTAGTTAAGAATTCGATATTGCTTATGTCATTACTGAAGGGTGTCTGTATTTGTTGCAATATAATTCTGCTGTATTGTTCAACTTGAGCTGAAAGAGAGCTTCTTGGCTTACAAGATTGACCTTTTGGTGAACGTGTTTGACAAACAAATCCGCAAAAAATAGACAACTATAACTGTCCGCAAAATATCGTTATTTTATGACGTGTTCTTGAGAGGATGCACGTTAAAATTACAACAGAAGGGAGGAAGAGATCGAAGAGTGATGTGAGGACAGCGTCTGTGACGTAAGGAGGCCTTCGGCACCTTTGACATATTGGGGGATAGGATAAAGCAACATGTTTTTTCCAACATAAACAAAACTACCCCTAAAAGAGAACAGCCTTCTCGATCATGTAGGTCTAGAAACACCATTGAAACAAGTGATTCTGCCATCGGACAGCATCTTTTAGATAACCCAGATTGTGCCAAAATGTATATTGACGACATGTTTCAGATAATTGACAGAGCCCGGTCGTTTTTTTTATCTAGCAGTTTTGGAATCTAATCGATTTATATAAAATCGAAAAAGCTGCTATTGTGTAGAAGGAGTTCTTGGACTCCAGTGGTAATTTTCTATTGTTAAGCCATACTGTTTGGGCAACTATGCCGGTCATGTGCTGGCGTTTTTTTTGATTGGCCCATTTCGATTCACAACTTGGTATACATTTTCCAATTTTGGAATTTTATTCTAACGTTTTATGTTCTGAGGACAAAAATGCTTGAAGTGCGCTGTAAAATGTTTACTTTTTTCAAAGCCATTATCGGATGTAGTCAAACGAATGATTGCAAAAACTGTTAAATTTTGTGGCAGTTAGTCACTTGCGTTTTCATCATAAAAACTAGCCTTAGAAACTTATAGTTAGTTTAAAAATTTATCTGTCCATTCTAGTTGTAAGTTTTTCTTAAAGGTTCTTAAGAACCAGTGCTTGAGTGCAATTTTTAGACAGAAAATCAGCACACAAAAATGCAGGGTAACGAAGGCCTAACATAACAAAAACCAGAACACCTAGTCAGTCAAAAGAAAGTTGAAATATTTGTGTCTATTGAATCAGAAATAAGTGATGTATCGCTTAAAAAAAGTATTTCACTTCCATCTTCAAAAACATCATTTCCGAGCAGTTTCTTAAGGTTGAGGGTGATCAGTATTTTTTAATATGAGTAGCTGTTTTCTTATAAATGGTTTCTTCTAAAAAATAAACGATAATAGAATAAACAAATGGAAACCAAAATTGTTAAATATAATTTGAATAGGATTCTATTTATTGTGCTGTAATTTGCAAATGTTAATAACCTTCCTGATTTTTATTTTCCTTCGTTGCTTTTCTTCTTCGATATTGTTTAATTAAAATATTTTTTTCAAAGTTATTTTTGTCAAAGACCCTTGGAAATTTGCAACCATGTTACCTAGAGTCTGTTTTTTTTCAGACGCTAGATGGTTTGGATTCCACCAGTGTGAAAAATGAGCTAGCAGTATGGCGGGAGAAATACATTGACGTGGCTACAGTCATGGATGAGTTTGTCACCTTAAGAGGAAGAACTGTATTGCTAAGAGATGAGGTACTGCATTTCTTTTATCGTTGTGTCTAAATTCACCAAATTATGTCAGCCTGTTTCGACTTAGAATAAGCTCATAACTTTTAGGCACTTAGAATATTGACACAACAAAGCTAACAGGAGAATATAATACCCCTGAAAAAATGGACAGCTCTAATTTATATGATACGAAATTCTTTAAAAATGACCTCCGGTTGATACTGAGACGAGACGAAAGCAGAATCTATTTTCGAATGTTTTCTTATGGGATTTATTTACCCTTATCTTCTCAACTTTCTGCATGGGAATCAAGGCTTGTTGATATGCTGTGTAAAATTACGTTGTAATTGATCTTATTTCATGGAGAAATTTTCATCGATAGGCTTCCATTAAAAAATGCTACAGATAAGCCTCTGAAATTGAAAAAATACAAAATATTTATTCCAATCAAATCCCAACCAAAGCCCATTCTCTATTAACTCACCTTTTTGGTGATAAAAACATGCATGAAAACTTTGACTAAGAATAAAGCCTGACATCCCAAGACTCTCGACCAAGGGATCTTATTTTCACTTAAGAAAGTTTTTTATTAGTGATGATCTTCGAACTTTAGTAAAACCTGCTTTTTGTGAATTATGGCGTGATGAGGGCAGCTCAAAGCAGTTGTCATCAATTACCTTAACATATATTGTCCATCCCAACGTACCAATTAATTCGGCAATATTATTCCTTTCTTTTCTTTAGCTATCTCCAAGGATACAACATAGTTTTGATGATTCCCTGTGAAAGTTAACTCGTTTAAATCAAAGCATTAACACTTAAGAGTTCATTTTGAACCAAGTACAATTCATCATTATTGCTCTGATGAGTATCTTAAAGCAAATAACACATTCTTTCGATATTTCATAAGTAATGAGCCACTGTTGATAGCTGAAACTTTACAGCAAAAGTATCTTAAGTTTCGTAGATCATTTGCTCTTTGTTCACTTAATAAAGACATTTTCCAATTATTTCTTATGCTGATTAACCTTGTAAAGGCAAGAGTGAGTTTGTGAATCCAACATGTTTAATATATTATTTACTTAAGAGTGGATAGATTTTTCAAAAAAATAAAGGAATGACTTTCAAAAATCATTTATTTACTATGATATGAGTATTTGATACTCTACCTAGCTTTCTAAAAAGAATGTTTTTAAAAGAAGTATGTAGTAACATTATTCCCTTTTGCCTACTTCTAGGTTAATTTGTTGCAATCAAAAGTCGAGGTATGTGCCTTGTTCCTAGATTCTAATTTTTTACGTACTCTAAATGCTTTTATAAGTAAAGCTTGATATAATTAAAGTACCACATTGTACATTGAATGAGAGTGTTGTTGCAATGTTTCGAGTATGACTTTCCATAGAACGCTTTGTCCGGATCGGAATACTGCATATATTTTTACTACTACCATTATAGGGTTTTCCAGACGCAAATGGAGCTTACTTTTCTCTTAATTGGTTTTATACTTTGCTGGCATACATAACTAAGAAATATGGAGATAATGATAAAAAGTTGTTCTTATATTAACAAAGTTAATTTGAGGGGCAATTTTCAGTGTTTAGTGATAGTTTTGTACCGGTGTATCGGACGTTGTCGTAGAAATATGAATCATGTATCTTGAAAATTGCCATGATCCCAGATTTGTAAAGAACGTAAAATGATGATGATTTGATTATGATTCAAACTCAACTGTTTAAAATGTAATGAATCTAGACAACCCAGGAACATAACAAATCAAATCTAACAAATTTAGAAATTAGCAAAGTAACAATAACTTAGGCATTAAAGCTAAAAACAACAAAATTGAAAATTAATAACGAATACGTAAATATTAGAATTCTCGAGAACAGCTATCAAAGTAGGTTAACTAACGAGAAGAGAGGCCATATGTGAAGTCAATATTGCCATATGTGTAGGAGGCGTGGGGGCTCGGAGGAAGGCAGCCCCCCTAATCACGCATATTTTTGGGCAAGGTCCATAGTAGGACCCCCCTTAAACGTTTAGCATTCGCCATGATGAAATTGAGTTTTCAGAATTGATAACTGAGAAAGGATGCAGGCTTTTTGAGAAATGACAGATATCCTTGTTCGTTTGCCAGCTAGCGTGATAAGTGTGGTTACACGTGTCAGCACTTGGACATGGTATAACACCATGGGTACTAATCATATCCCTTGCAAGTGGAAACTTCCTTACTTTATCAATTTTCATTTCACCGTGCCTTAAATCATTATCAATGTTTTATCATCATCATTACAGACATCTCATGATAACCTGTAAATCATTTATGAATAGGGACTTACTGATAGTGTAAGACATAACTTTGGTTTTCATTATATCAACAACGTTGACTAGATGATTATAGGAAACACAATACCTTAAACGAAACATTAGCCAGCTTATTGCAGTGAAGCGCAAGCGGTTATCCTAACAGCAGTGTTTTATCCATGGAGAGCCTTGTGTGGTTACTTGTTATAAAAAACCTTCGATCTTGACACAGTTCACACTTTACACTCAATTGTCCCTACAGAAATGAAGAGAAAACGCTTTGCTTTAATAGGTCTTAGAATATAAAGTCAATAAAATCGGTTTCATACATCAAACTCCCAAAAAGAAAAGTACTGTAGACGTGCACTGGTATTGTCAGCTTTGTTTTACACAGTTTTTTCACTGGAGGATGCTTCTTTATTGAATTGTGGACAAGAGGGTATAGTGTAAACGAGGTTGTTACAACATGTTTTCCCACACAATGTCTTTCCCCGATTTTATTTCCTGACGAGAACTCGAAAATAATAAGAGCTGTTTTGTTTTTAGGAACTCGAAAAGGAAAAGAACAAGGTTACCGAGGAGAAAAAAGATGTTAGTTGATTTTCAGCAAATTTCTTTGTTATCCATATGAAAGAATTCTGTATAACCATTGTTGTATCAAACTTTTTGAGCGACACATTGCTTCTGCGTGTCAACGTAAACAAAGCAATTCTTTGAATTTCTCTGCAAAGTACTCGTTATTCGACAATCTTTTCATCCCTGTGTTCAACGATTGTAACAATTATGAAATTGGGATGGAAGTTGTTATAAAAAGCCGTCAAAGTATTTGTCAATTTTTGCTCTGAATTATTTGGTAATAGAATTTATAATCTGACATTCTAAAAAATGGATACTTTGGCATTATTCTGTAGCACTATAAAAATTGTGTTTTTTCTAAACTATCTTAGAAAGCCTAATTTTTACCAATTAAATCCTTTTTCAAGATACCATTGCTTATTTATTGTAACTTTGCAAATATTTTTTAAAGAAACTTTTATTCAATGTTGTGAATATTATGCTAGTTTGTTTCATATTACTATTTTGTTTTTAGCTGGAGACAAGAGTGGAGGATTTCAAACTAAGAGCGTCAGAGCTGCAAGCAAATATCGAGCATCTTAAGGTAAATATCAAGACGGATCGATGATTTCATTAAGTTTTAATTAGCCAGTACTAGCTTTTTTAAATCTAGAGCCGGCAAATTTCAATTGTAGATGGGGGAAGCGCTTTTCATATGAGACAAAGGTGGGCCACTTTTGTGAGCGGAACAGGTGTTAACATTTGCTTAAGGTTACCTCCCTGCTGCGAGATCCAGCCCCTCTCCATTTTGGTTGTTCTCGCTTGCCTGTTTACAAGGGATCAAATGAAACGAAATCAAAGATATTGATATTCTGAATCTTCTATTGCAGAAACATCGGCAGGAAAATGACGGAACAAGCGAAGAGGTGGCTCACGCTCTTGAAGATGCCATCGGTGACATTCTGAAGACAAATGCACCCCCACCACCGCCACCTGTGCCAAGTACCCCGCCAGGGACTCTTCCACCAGCTCCACCCCCACCAGGTTAGTGTGTGGTTTCTTTTCAAAATGCTGCATCATCAGCATGACCCATACAAGGCCTAAGATTATTGATAGCCAATATGACGTCATTATGGTTGCCCTGTTTTGATACTAGATCAATTTCATTTGCTTTTGTAACCCTCAGATGCATTATTGGATATCTGTTAGGCTTAAACAGTATTTGACAGGCATTCAGAATTAGCTGAAGTTTTTTTGGTCAGGTCATTAAACGTCTGCCAAGAAATAAGCCTGCTTTTCAGCCCATATTTTACGAAAACCAAGTTGTCATCAAAAGTTCAAATTTCCTGTTTCTTAATCAAAATAATCAACTAAATGATATTTTAGATTTTTTTAATCTTGTACATACATTTGCAAACTGTGATGGTTTTTAGCTGCCTTAATGCTTTTATTACTCTGCCAAGTAATTTCAGTACGGCAATACGGCAGAAAATCAATGCTTTTGCAAGGGTTAAATATTCTTTGCAGTGCTCTATTAAGCATGGTTTACACAGACATTATAAAACTGATGGGTATTAAAAGTTACTGTTTACAGGTCGGTCATAAAGTGCTCGATGCCGTAAAGGCAGAGCTGTACATGCATTTTGTGTATAAATGAAGACGGTTCTAAGCTGCTACTTGGAGTTTCAGGCTTAATGCGATCGTGAGACAACTATTCTGATCAAAACTGAAGATTGTAAATATTCCAAATACAATGATAGTCTCTTCTCAGCAACTTTTGCATTGAATTATGCAAATAGTAGGAATAGGTACCTTTTACCTATGTAAAATCAATCCTACAGTTGCCTAATGATCGTTGTTTGGCAAGGAATGTTAAAAAAGTTAGGCATTGGAGTTCTTGGCACTAGCCTGTCGCATTACCATTTTGTCTCCAAATTACTTTCTATTACAGTTAACAGAAACTTATTTTCGTCGATGAATATTGACTCATGTTCCACTGCAAAAAGGGTTTTTGTCCGCAAGATACGATTGTATCACTTAATTCTTTGTGAATAAATGTGTTTGTGGAAACTTTTATTTTTTTGCACTTTATACAATACTTTATTAATTGTCTGGTTGTTATGTTGTTCCTGTTTTTGTCTACCTGTTTTTGTTGATTACTAACTGTTGATTGCACTAACCGACATTCACCACCCACAACCCACGTATGAAATGGAGGCAATTTAATAATGGCGGCTCAAATGGACCTAGTATTATGAATGAAAAATTTATTGGTTGGAAGCTGAAGTACTAGCGAATCCAAGTAGTACAATATAAATTTAAAGCTCTAAGGCTAATTGCTCGACAAATATGTAGCATCTGTTATGGTGAAAAATTGATCGCGGAACATTGTTTTTCCACAGCACTGCTCACAAATCGAGCATTTTTCCCACAAATAAACCATTTTTGCCAGCACAATATTCCAACGAGCCATTCTGTAATTAACAAGGCATTACTAAAGAGCTTCGGTTATTAATAGTGCAGCTTGAACGTTTTGATATTTCAATCCAAAGAAGCTTCAAGATGAGAATAGACCGTGTGATAAAACGGTAACGACTGCCAACTGGACACCTGCAGAGACGTTTAAGAAAAGTAAATTTTGACAGAGCTAATAAAAGCAATGAATGACAACGAGCCTGTTGGTTCATTAAAAGCCGGGTAATTTGTGCGAAGAAATTATGCATAAAAGCTGTCCCAGTTCATGGTAGAGCTGGTTGTGGAAGCCTTCCATCACCTCTTTTCAATCACTGTTTTCGAAGGCTCTTTCCACTTGTTCTTAAGTTTCAACTGGGCACAGGCCAATCGCAAGGACGGTGCAATTTCAATAACAGCACTGATCAAACTTCAATCTAAAGACCTTCAGGACTCCTTAGGTGAAGATAAAAAAAATCCAATGTCACTAGACTCAGATTTTTCTAGTCCATGCTCCCCTACCCTTGTAAAGGGACCTTCTTACTCTCAGGCTTGTAACCACTCATACAAAAATTCCTACATCCACTAACGAAAGAAACAATCAAATGATTTAAATTGATTTAACTAACAACGAATCAAAACGAATGGAAAATTGCGATATTATCTGCAATTTCTTGAACTCGTAACATGCTCTGACATGATCATCAAACAGGACTTCCGCCGCCACCGCCGCCACCCCTCGGATCGTTCGGAAAGAAGTTGCCTGGAGGAGGAATAGGTATTTTCGTAGCAGTCGTACTCTTATGAGAGGTTTTGTTCTTCAAGCCTTGTTTGTTTGTGTAATTGAATATTTGTGTTTATTGTTTACGCACATTGTAGCAAACGCACGACTAACACCTAACCGAAGCCAGGACTGCTGTGAGACTAGGCCTAGGGGAAGTATTTTTGCGATTGAAACGACCCAGAAACTAACTTAAAGATGCATTCCAAGTGATGTATCTTATATATTGTTATTTTCTATTTCGTACTGTTTGGAAGCCTTTTTTACCATCGGTGTATAACCTGTGCCCAATAGGATGCTGAGTCTGGAATATTTTCCTCTCTCTTCTCCCTAACATTCTCCTATTCAGTCCACCCTATGCAGCGGTACTGGCTTAAATTCTGAAACGTGTATAAATTCTTTTGTTTAGCAAGCGATTGCTCTGATTCCTAATAGTAACTAATGGTTCATTGTAAGCATTGTTTTATTTGTTGTTAAAAGTAGATTCTTTTTTGTTACACTGCAAAATGTAGTTTTCGTGGTTAGCGATTTAGATTGAGATCTGTTCAAGCTCCAGGCACATTGATAAATCTTTTCGCACATATTTTCCCAATGGCTATATTGTTTGTTTCTCTGTAGCGTCGTCAATGAGAAATCGTATGGATTCTTGTGCCAAGTTACCGATGCTCAATTGGGTTCCTTTGAAGGTTGCAGGAGAGAAAAGCGTTTTCAAGGTTTGTCATTTATTCCGTCATCTCATATTCTGTGCGATGACCAAACATTTTCCAAGGCCATCCCTTAAGATATTATAAGTCCATCAGTCCATCACCCCCATCAGCAATTGCTTGACAAGCTGCAATTAAAAGCTGTACACTCAAAAGTGTTCAATACAACTCACGAGAAATAGAGCTATCTTCAATTCATAATGAGATTTTGCATCCACTTCGCTATGTTTATATCATGTTTGCTACTAAAATCCATGCGCACAAATTCTAACAGGAGGAAGGGGTAGATGTAGGACGCTGCAGTTGTTTTTTTTCTGTTCCTGTAATGAGAGATCAGTCCTTTGATTTGAAGCAAAACTTGAGCATTCAGTCTCCAGTTTCTCATCTTGGCTGCTGCACATACTGTTAAATGGGCCTAAATCGACGCGCCTTTAAAATGTTCAAAAACTTGAGATCTTGACGATGAACAAAAACTACGAACAACAAAGGTCTAGATTTGCTTTGCTTAGCTCGTTTAAACTGCCGATTTACGCGCTTTGGGCATCTCTTGCATAATTGCAAGCATCAGCATCGTAATCCCATTTTGTTAGATTTTACAATAGTGGAAGGAAGAAAGTTATAGAAGGAGCCACGAAACGAGAACAAATTTTGAAAGATCAATCTTATTTGGGTGTCAGAGCTCTGTATCTTGTCAGCAAGAATGCTAAAAGCATTAACATTTTAGGTGTTCTACTAACTTACAATTGCAAACATCAAAAGAGATCTAGTTTATTTAAATGAAATTCAAACGGCTATTTTCATTTTTTTATGTTCAGGAAAATCCAGAGCTTGATGGTCTAGCCAAAATGATTGATTTCAAGGACTTTGAAAAGCGCTTTGAGCTGAGGTCTTCTAACGACGAAAGTGCTATTCAGAAAAGACAAGAAAAGGGTACGTTCTTTCAATACCGTTCTGATTTAATCATTTTGCAATTGACTATCTTTTCGAAAAACCGTTGCGTCACAGAGTGGTTAATTCCCATGTAACCCCCGCGACAGGCTTGTAGCAGAGTTTTACGTTACACAAATAAACTGCATCTATTCGAGGAAGAACGGAAGATGATATTACTAGCAGATAACTACTAGATACAAGCTACTTGGAAAAAAAATTGTGTCCTCGTGTCGCTACATTTTCTTTCTTCCTTTACTTTAAGCCATTTCTTTTGTATTATTATTGTAAACGTAATCATGAAAGATAATTAAACTCTTGGAAAATAAACTCAAAGGATAACAGTTTCTGGAAAGCTCAGTAAGGATCATTGGTGCCTTGACCAAAAGCAATTTGCGTCTAGGAACATGAGCATATCTTTCAGTGTGTTATCAAAGTGCTTTCATTCAATGCTGAAAGAGAACTGAAACCTTTTTTATATAACTGTTTCAGTTCTTGTTTGTTAAAACATGATCACAATCTGATTATTTCATTATCTTTGACAGCTTTATAGTGTCCGTGACTTCTTCGACTTCTTTAAACTATTAATGAATCCCTTATTTGTTTGGGTTCTGGCTTTTTCAGCCATCAAAAAAATTTCAATTTTTTCAAGCCTTCTCTAATTAAATTATAAAATACTCTTTCAAAGCTCTTTACTGAATTGCTAAAGTATTGCCTCCTGCATTTTTCTAGATAATTGTCGCTCTCAGTTTTGTTTCGTGTATTTATCAAACTTTGTAGAGCCTTTATAGTGCTTGAATAAATGAATAAATTGGTTTGCTGTCACAACTGACAGCAGATGTTAGCTAACCGTTAAAAACTGTCAACTTGGTATTCAAAGGCATTTCTACATGACACATAGGGCAAAAATGAATACTTCTTCGCATATCGGCATACGGCTTGATCTATAAGTCTACATGAAATGTTGGGTGACAAAAAGGGCTATAACGTAACAGATAGGGCTTAAGCGAATCCTGCACCACACCTGTCAGTGTCACATCTATTGTTTTGTCATTTGTTCAGCCTTCACCCAAGAAATACTGTCTTGAACGTTATTTTTTCCCCTGTTTTGAACTTATTCCGCACTTTTTTCTTGATGCTGTCAATTGTTTTTCACAGCCATGAAAAAACTCTCGGCTACATTGAACCTTCTCTCTCCAAACAAAGCCAAGAATCTTAGTAAGTATGCTTTATGAAAACGCTATGATGTAAGCCTATAGGTGCCGCTTTGCAGTGATTGTTCTTAGGGCAGCTTCCATTCGATATGTCAAGTAACAGCAGCAAACTTCATGATGTATTTTGCATCTAAATACTAACTTTCTCATTTAGGTTTTACATATTTAGAACTGATTTCAAAGTAATAAATCATCGGAAAGCTAATGGGCTGATGCTGTATCATATTTGTAATTCTTTCAACATTTTTAAAGCAAAAGTTCCCTGAAGTATTAATTCAGAAATTTGAAATTCATAGTTTGATATTTTGCGCTAAGATGACGTCATTTGAATCATTCAATAAAACTCCGTAGATGTAGGATGCTTTTTAAGATCAGGTTTAAGATCATGATATAGCACAGTAAGTATTTTTTCCCGATGTAGCATGTAACTAAAGAGCAAATATATTTTCTTACACACATGCTAGAAATGCCTATAGACAGTAGCAGTATTATTTCATGCTTCTGATAGCATTAGTTCAGAATTAATTTCTGTTTATGAAAGTTTCTACATTTTACAAAGTGATCTTTCACTGCTTATCATAGCTTGTTTGTTTTAAATCTTGCTCATTGTAAAAGGCATTTTCAATGAGGACTCCAGCTCGTGGTTACAACATAAGCTGGTCTAAACACGAAATGTGAATGCTTTGACATACTCTCTCTTGCTAAACTGCAAATTAGCTTGTTCTGTTTACCTGTAAGGCTGTTTTTATTTGTAAGTTTCATCATAAAAGATTGTTGCGCTTTAGAAACTATTTGTTCATTTTAATAACCTCAAACGGTTTTTTCAGTCATCGCGAAAAGGCGCATTGGAAAGGACGCATCATTTGTCCAAGAGGCAATAAACAATTGTGATATTGTTGCACTTTCATCTGAACATGCAGAACTTCTTCTGAAATTCATTCCAACCAAAGATGAGGTATTTCGCCAGATTTTATTCTTGCAACGATACCTACAATCCTGGACAAAAGGTTATGAGACAATTACTTTTTAAGTAATTTCTGCGTAATTGCCCTCAAAACCAGTGGTATGCCCCTCCCCCCAATGTCAGTGTTGGTGGTGGGTAATGGCAGTTGATTGTGGAAGCCAGAAAACCGAAAAAATCAACATCAACACTGATATTGGGGGCAGGGGGTTGGGTGCTTTTGCAATAAATGATTATAACAGCAAATGTCTCCTAACTTTTGTTCTGGATTGTAGCTGGGCATGAAAACCCAACCTACCATGCAACAGGGCGGTTGCAGGAAATGTTTCGTCCATAAAGTTTTGCAGGAGATTTTTTTTAGATACACCAGTATACAAAAAACAATCTTTATTAATCTTTTATATCAATCTATACTTTTGTTAATCTATACCTAGTTGTGACATAAAAGTTTGAATGGAGGGCAGCTCTTAACCACTCGTTCCAAGTTTCTTAATTTTATTTCAGTGCAAGCAGAAGACTGTTTTAAAAATTGTTTTATATATCACCTGCCACCTGCGTCGATTACTAAAGATGCAGAAGCACATTGACTTATTGCCAATCATACTCGCATTCTGCGACTTAAAGCTCCCAGAAGTATTTGCATTCCTATGTCTAGCTGTAGTTAATCACTGCCTCAAACCCCATATAACATAAAGGAATGGAAGAAATTCCTATCGTAAATTTGTACTTAACGCAAGTTTCTGAATCTCAAGTTCTCCTTCTCAGGCTCATCATATTTTCATGTTTTGCCCAATAAACTTTGTATCGATAACAAGATAAAAACTTGCATAGGTTTCTCCATTAATTTGAACTTAAATAAGCTTGTTTAAGTGAAAATTCATTTTCCATTTCCCAATTTTCGTCAATGGCTGACTATTATAGTTATTCTTATCATTTGCTTTTGCCAATTTCTTGCTGCCTGTTTTCTTGGCCCCATTCACACGATATATGTAACAAATATATGCTGTTTTGTTCTATAAACTTGCAAGAACTGCTAAGAATTCTTTTGTAATCAATTTTTTCGTTTTAATTTTTTCTGCAGTTGGCAAGCTTGGCAAAACACGCTAGCCAATTCAGCAAGTTTGGCGAAGCAGAGAAGTTTCTATTTCAGGTGACATAATGTTTTTCCCTTTAACTTACATCTTTTGAGCACTAAAAAATACTTTCTTATATTCCATTCATTGTGGCAATGTAATCGTATTCTTTTCAGTATCTATTCTCGACAACTATCTATCCATTATCATGTCTTCAAAGATAACTTTGCTAAGGCTATAATCATTAAATCTAAGTTTTTCTATGTTGTTAAGCTCCACCGCCGTTGTTGAGTCTGTTCCAAGATCTTGCGATGGCAACGTAATTTTGAAAAGTAAAATTGCGAAGAATGAAATCGAACAATGATGTAAAGGAAAATGGGTTCCATTCCAAATAATAACAGAATAATTGTTTTAATTTTCTATCTGCTAATGATGAAGATATGAAATAAACAGAAAGTGGTCATTGTTTGGACCTTGACTTTACAACTATGTAATTGGTTGATGTGTGCTGATTGGTCAGAACAAGTAGCCAATCAAACGCGACACATATCCTTCTAAGTCATTTTCGATTTGTAACTCTATTGGCACCTGGATATAGCGTTCTGTTTGGTCTTGGTCATTACCGAATGATTTCTACTTTCAAAAACTTCGAGCGAAAATCACTTTTATATATATATACTATCATGGTCCCATTTCTTCGAGGAATATTAAAATATTACCCTTGTATTTTTGATGGAATGTTGTCTCCGTTTACATTTTTATCAAACCATTTTCTGCGTTAATTTGAGACCTCTCTCTCGGGACTAATATCAATGATTCTTCTTGTCGTTAAATTAAGATTGAAACTTGTGTCTTTTAACTCGTAGATGGCGAAAGTTGAGCGTTATGAAGCAAAATTAAACACCATGGTGTACATTGGTTTGTTTGATGAGCTCCTCAGAAATGTTTTACCGGTATGTTCAAATTTAAGTAGACATTTACGGTTTACTCTAATAATTTATACAGAATAGACACGTGCATTCTCTACGCTTCCACCTGACGTCCCAAGATAGAGCCAATTTCATCGTTTGGACCTTGAACTGCGTCCTTGAAATGCAGTTTCGTCGTTGAACAAGCGAAAGCTAGTTCTAAAAGAGCCTCGTTTATCCGGAATTATTCGGACTTTTTATATTAATATGGATAATTGGGAGTTCGGAAAACAAAAAATTGTTAGCTCTTTCAAGGTAACCAGACTATTTCCAAAAAATTTGTTGGCCATCTGAATTCCTTCTGTTTGACAAAACAATAAGTTTTTTTCCTTTGCAATCGGTAACGCGGGACTTGTGTTTTATAACTTATTTAAGGGCCACAAAGCCTTTGACTCACGGGACATATGGCCTTAAATATTTGCAAACAAGGGTAGTGACAAGAGCAGACGAAAATCCAGGAAGTTGAATTAATAGGAAACTGGGCTTTTACTTTTCATTGCAAAAATTTTATTTAACTTTTGATTATTTAATTAGATATCTGATTGGCCGTGCCAACCACACTAATAGTTTCTTCCTCTTGTTTTTCAGCGAATTGAGGCAGTTTTAAAAGCATCCTTATCAATTGCATCAAGTGTAAAATTAAAAAGGATATTTGAGGTGAAAATGAAAGTTCTAATCTTAAAAATGTTTTTCTTATGCTTTACTCTACTTTATGAGTACACCTAAGTAAATTTTAGTTCTTAGGCTATCGCATTACAGAGAGCTGACTTTAAGTGGCACACCTAGATTTGATTGGAAGTATTTTAGACTGCAGAAACATGTTTAGATTTTTTGGCCTCAATCATCTCTTTCCTAACTGATGGCTCAAGTTTGATATTAAGGATAAGGAAATTAAGGATATTATTGATAGCTTTTGACATGCTATTCTCAAAACCGTCTTGATAGAAAAGCGTTCTGTTTACAGTATGTGTCTTCGATTCATAACACGCGATCTAGCTGTAATGCTTATTCGGAGACCTGATGAAAATTGGATTATATTAATTTATATGTTAGGATATGTCGTGTTTTTAATTGTGCACATACCTCAATTCCGTTAGAAATCTAATGATACACTTGGCTCACAGATTTCATTAGGAGTTAAGGTTCCCATAAACTATTCTGTTTTTAAAAATGGAACCTCGCCAGCACCCCTTTTCCCTTACCGTATTTCTCTGATTTACCCTAGCAGTCTACAAATGTTTATATTACAGGTAATTTTACTGTTTGGAAATTACATGAATGGATCAAGGCGTGGGCAAGTCGAGGGCTTCAAGCTGGATTCTCTTACAAAGGTATTTTGCTTTTCTCTTACTAAGGTATTTTGATAAATTGTAAACAAATTTCAAACAGCTAACAATATGCATTTTATGGTTTGAAAACGGGACCGTCAGAGTTTAGTCGTAACATTTTCAAGGCGTTTAATAAGCTGTCTAATACGTTATGCCTTCTGGTGTAAATTCAACATTAATCATTATTGTAAAGCCTTAAAAATCTTTGACTTTATTAGAAACAAATAAAAAACATATGGTAATGAAAAAAATACCCCGCTTCCCCGCTTCAAGAATCGGCACAGTTTGGACCTAAGCTTTGTCTTTGGTTAATATTTATTCTTTTGTCTGACATTTTTTACCCCTTTGTTTGTCATATTCTGGTAATTTTCTCGATATTACCTCTTTGAAGGTTTTTTGACCTTTTCCTGGCGACTATAAATTTGGTTTCAATTGATTGTCGCGAAAAATCGAGTTCGATCTCGTATGACCTTTCTATGGCTGCATGATTGCTTTTAGACAGGACATATAGCCTGACAATCTGACATTCAAGCTAATGTTTACTTTCTCAACGGATTCTGGTAGTAGAAAGTTCAGGCTTTCATAATCTGCCAGGTGACTTTTTTGAAAATGCCTGGATGTCACGTTACTGATGACGTCATTTAACGGTAAAAAGTCAGACAAAATCATCGCTACCTCCTCACTAAAGGGTTATTTTTTAACGCAACTTACATATATTGACTCGTCTCATTGCAAGCTTTCAAATGATATATATTTAAGCAAGATTTGCCGACATAAGTATTTTCATTATGACGTCATAACAAATTTTGCATGACGTCATCAAATATTTTATTGTCATAAAATGATACGTTAGCATAATTTTGTTTTAATATGACGCTGGCTGTCAGCAAAAGCTTTTCTTCCAAATGTTTTTCAATTAAAATATTAGTATTTAGTTCATTTAAATTGAATTTGTGCCCACCGCAATAGCCAAAGTTCGAAACAGGTAGTAGTCACTATCTGACGAGTGAGTCACTTCTTCCTCCGAAGTCGCAAAGTCTTGCTCCCACTCTGAACCGGACAATTATTTCTCTGCATCTGCATTTGACTGTTGCTAAGTCGGAAAATATCTTCGCACTATTATAGGTTGTCCAAGATGTCTTCGTACTATAGGTCTTTAGCGCTGGGTATGAAAGTGTATGATTTTCTTAATGGGTAAATTCATCTCCTGCGTCACCTTCATATTCTTGTGATGTAAAGGAAGCTCTCGGAGATGAGGAAGTTGCTTTCCTGTGAACCATTTAGACGGTCGAGTATGTCGTCCAAATTTCAACAGCAGGCTTTTGGGACATGTCTTGCAGTAGTTGCACCTAAACAGTGTAGCCAAAATAACCTTGTTAAGTTGATACAATTTAATTCTTTTCTGATTGAGTGATTATGGATCTGCTGGAATTGGGGCAGATGATTTTTTTCAGATTTGATAAATATCTTTGTCCCTAAATAGCTTTTATATGTTGTTCCACTATATTCTGCTGTTTCGCGAATGTCTTTGCTTTTGCGATAACTCCTTTGGAGAGACTTTTAATGATGACTTGTTTCTGGTTCCTCGTTAGCTTTTTCACAGTAACCTTATTAATGTTGTGCTTATATGCAGTTGTCTCAGCCCACAATTCCATTAATCTGTGATAAAATACAGCAAATTTTGGAACCAAAAGTTTCAGCGATGCCTCAAATCTTGACGATTTGTTTGTTATTTATGCACATAAACCACTAATTTGTGGGTTTGCACTTCTGTGTTGCATGAACAAGCAGCACACATAAATCAGTATCTTTTGCAACAGCAACTACTTTTGCATCTTTCGAGTTACCATGCAAAATATTCTGGTTTCCGCCTTTTTGTGGTTACATCTTGGAGGGACTTCTACTTGCTTTTTGAAGTCTCCGATGCTTCTCCTCCTTAAGCTACGATAAATTGAATTGGCAGGGGCCTGTGACCCTCAGCGCTTCGAAAGAATTCGGGAGCAAGTCTCATAAGATTCTCTTTTTTTCATCAATGTAAAAATACTCTTCTTACTTTGGAGTATCTTTTGCTCTCCACTTTTTATATGCACTTGCCTTGTTGACTCTCTTTTGCCGTTAGCTTGCTCGTGTGCTGTTTCTAAATATTTAGCGTTGACTTTGTTTCCACTTTCATTGCTTTAGCCTCATAAGGAGGATTAGCACATCTCTGAATGTTCTTGAACCAAACACTGAATGTTTTCTTGGGTTTGATGCTACGAACTCAGGCCGTCTCATCAAATCTCCATCTGGCGTTTTCGGGTGGCGTTTTTACAAAATGTTCTCACGGACTGATGACACTAGCGCTAACATGGAAGAAATATTTCAAAGAAATGAGCTATTTTGCTCGAATGGTAGGTTGTTGCTAGAAACGAAAGTATAGTCAGAAACTTAAGCTGCATTCTGGGGCACAAAGATCCAAGAAAACAGCGAAAGCAGTCTCAATAATGAACGAAGACCACCAAGCTTTCGTGATTGGCAAGGCTGCCTCTATCGAAAAGGCATTTTCATATCCCATCAAAACCTTAACTCTAGTCTTGCAACTCCTGAAGGTGTACTGTGACAAGGAGATAAAGCTGTTCTTCTTAATTTCATGTGTAAGGAGCCAGATCCATATATAAATCCACCATCAGAAAAATGGCAGATGGAGTATTTTATTTATGAGATGGCCTTATTTCGCAGCAGAAGATAGCCTTATTGAAAAAAGTCATGCACCTTCAGCACATCGGTAGGACATCTTGGATAGCCTATATTGCCAAGACATTCTTCCGATTTAGTGTAACATTCAAATGCGGATGCAGAGAAATCATTGCCCGGTTCAAATATGGAGCAAGACTTTGCATCTTCGGAGGAAGAAGTGACTCACTCGTCAGATAGTAACGACTTCTTTATTTAAACTTTGGCTATTGCGGTTGGCACAAATTCAATTTAAATCAACTAAATACTAATTATTTTGATTGAAAAACATATGGAAGAAAAGCTTTTGCTGACAGCCAGCGTCATATTAAAACAAAATTATGCTAACGTATCATTTTATGACAATAAAATATTTGATGACGTCATGCAAAATTTGTTATGACGTCATAATAAAAATACTTATGTCGGCAAATCTTGCTTAAATATATATCATTTGAAAGCTTGCAATGAGACGAGTCAATATATGTAAGTTGCGTTAAAAAATAACCCTTTAGTGAGGAGGTAGCGATGATTTTGTCTGACTTTTTACCGTTAAATGACGTCATCAGTCACGTGACATCCAGGCATTTTCAAAAAAGTCACCTGGCAGATTATGAAAGCCTGAACTTTCTACTACCAGAATCCGTTGAGAAAGCAAACATTAGCTTGAATGTCAGATTGTCAGGCTATATGTCCTGTCTATTTGTTTGTTTGGTCTTTAGAAAAATTGAATGATTTTGTTTTGTTTCTTTAGTTTTTCGTAATTTTTTAGTTTTTGGCTTTTTTCTTGTTTACTCAACATATATTCTGTTTGCTCTTGAAACAAACTTTTAATTTAATCTAGTGTTGTGCTGTTTTCGAAATCTGTTGTTTCGAATTTCGAATTTTGCTTAAAAAGGATTTGACTTATACATCTGTCAACAGTCTGTTAGTAAAACCTTTAAAAATAGTGATAAATAGTGATAATTTTTGTTGCCTGTAAGCTGAAAAGCCAAGTTGGATATTGTTTTTAAATCCTTCAGAGTTACTGGGTTGATTGCGTTGCCTTTGAAGTAAAACTAACGAAAAGTAAGACAGCTTGTTATGCACTGGTTTTTGTTCAGTGGTCTGCAAAAGACTGTCACTATAATGGTGTGGCTGGCTGGCTATGCTAGGTGATAGTTTGATAAAAAGAAGGCAAAAAGTAAAAAAAACTTGGGTTTTATTTTTCAAAACAATAATGATTGCATTACTTCATGTCACGCGTTTGTTCAGGTAGCTGAAATATAGAAAGGTTTGATGTGGGGGATCTAATGTCCAACAAGTGGGATAACTAAGCACCCAAATCGACCATCCAACATACATTTCAATTCAGAGGACTGTTTTTCAAAGTGAGATTTGTAGTACTACTTTAATATATTTATCAACTCTGGGGTTGATTGCTGAGGTCATTTCCAACTAATCAATAACTTCACTTAATTGAACTTCATCAGAGCTTTGCTTAATATGATGCATGTCAAACTATAATCGATCTTTTGCATTGCCAAAGTCAAGCTCAAAGTAGCTCTCTTTGCCTTTTTCATGCTTGAATTGCCCTCTACATGGCTGCCAACAGTGCCCCAAAAGGACTTGTACCCCTCCACGGATGAATTCAAAAGGGCGTTTCAAACCAGTTCACGAACCAATACAAATAAACTGAAAGCTTCATACAGCGAACAACCTTGATACACGAGTCGCTTTCCAATGTCCTTAATATAAAGTAACTCACATTATAAAAACCTTCAACCTAAAGGAAGCGTTGTTTGGAGAGAGATATCTGTTTTGGAAGATTTTGCAGAAAGACCCTGCTTCATTTCAAGATTATTTTGTGAGATCAACCTCAAACCTCCGAATTTTAGTTGCATGATGCACACCTTGTGATTTATACTTTATTCCCCAAGCACTGATTCTAGAGATACTAAAGCTGTTGTGTTTACTCTCATTTCTGTTCATACATAATCTTATAACCTGAGGCCTTTTGCAGTTTGGTTTTAGTAGAATGTTCTTTTCATACGAGCATTCTTTTGGGGATGAAAAAGATGCCGTTAAATTCTTCAAAGGTACTCAAATAGATTTGTCAATAATTTATGAATCACCTTTAAAAGGAATACGCTATGAATTCCTCTATCGCTCAGTATCGCTAGTCGAGTTTGATTGTCTCATATTAGATTCACATGATTTCGAAGTTAAATACAGGATCACATGAGAAGAGTGAAATAAAGGAAAAAATTCGGTTTTTTGAGGAGTGTATGCGCTTCGCCCTCTGTAGTTAATCCTCGTCGCTGTAAATAGTGATCTTGAATTAATTACTATATCGCTCTTTCGTTTGCTACAAAATGGATATTTGACTTCGGATGTATTTGATTTGCTCATCGGTAACATTCTGAAGATTGGTCATTGTCCTTTTCCTTGTCGGCAATTTCCCAAGCAAATGTTACTGAAAACACTGTTTCCTCTCAGTGTGCTGCGTTTTCTCTCAAACCTTGTACATTCCATCGTCCTTGCAACTCTATGTCTAATGTGAAGTGACAGATCTTTGTTGTTGCTTCTGGAGACATTATAATGCTTTTTGTGTGCTCATGGTTAAAGCACACTGAGGTTGATTATTCCTTAAAAAGTGCGTGTGCGGCCTGTTTTACGCGTAAAGGATTTCCAAGAAATGTTGTAACTCAAATCAGTTCTGCTATTTTCGTCATATTGTTTGTCAAACGCAAATATTTCTTGCCGTAAAGTCGGGTTTTTTCCAGTCACAAATTTGATAAAAAATACAAATAAAAGCAATTCTATAGCGTTTACAGCAAAGGTTGATTGTGTGTCATGTGCTATTTATGCAATCGGCTGATTCCTTATCTTATTATTTTGAAACACAAGATAAGATTTTTTATAATGTCAGGTTTTTATATCTGAGCCGCGTGTCTCGTTATCTGAGTCTCTAACACGCGTTTATAGGCAATCAGTTAACTTTTGCTTACAATAATATTCAGATATTAAGAATAGATTTTTGATGGCCTTTCTTAACCTTTCAATGGCTGACAAACATGCTACCTGTTATGGCTATCAAGTTCTTGGGCAGTATTGAATGAACTGCAAAATTACGACAAGCAATGAGATTGCAACTTGGACCGTGAACATACTTGGCAGCTGCAAAAATCTAGCATATATGCAATTTTCTCTTATTAATAAAAACTTACGTCATTTTTCTATAAAAATATTGTTTGCAGCTTCCTCAAAACATTAGCTAGTCAACTCTACCTCTCAGTGTTTTATACCTCTTGATGCCTTTTCATAAGAAAGAATGTAAAAATGTTGTCTTAGCAGTACTATGTTGTATTAAACTATGATATATTGGCTCGGATTTTATCACACCGAAACAATCAAATTATCCACATGTCTTCTTCTTCCAACCTTCTTTTCCTTGGACGAAATAACACAAGAGCTATTTTCATTTTTATGTCTCTGCTGCATGTAAAGGACTGACTGGCAGTTTTTTTCAGGAATATTAGCAAAAGGTTCTTAATTATCAATAGCAAGTTACCGTACTGATGGTATATTTGAACTGGACCCCTTTACAGTACCCATGCAGCCCTACAGTTCTGTTTCATAAGACATTGACACAACAAACGTGCTTGTATACTCCTCCCTGCGTGTTATCCTTTAGATAAACCTACCAATTTTTAGAGGTAACGTTAAACAAGTATTTTCGACAAAAAAGCAAGAAGCAATGTTGTCTTAAGTATGACGATTAAATCCAATCTCTTAAGGTATTTACAAATGGAGCACATCGAGGTGTGCATATAATTACGGTTGTGAGATATATTACAGCGCACTACATTTTAATTACATTTTCAGCATATATTTTTTGTACATTTTACAGTATTTGCTTTTATTGCAGTAAGATGCTATAGTTCAATTGCAAACCATTTTACGTCTACCATAAATCCATTGTCTATAATTCACCTCAATCTCTGTAATTTTTAATCCTCTGGTCCATTACTACTATTAGACATCAAAATGGGTAGTCCACGACCTCTCCTGCTTTTAATACTTTTTTAATTCTTTTCATCTAATTGAAACACAGACTTAGATGTTTTTATAGTAAATTAAATTAAATTTTTATTTTCTCGGTTCTTTTTAAAAAAATTCATTTTTTTTAATTACAATGTGATATCTTAATGTTAATTTAAGAATTTCAAGTTTGTTTCCAATTCAAAAAAGTCAACGAACGAAGCTTCCTTCACAACCTTCTGAATTTGTTATGTCAGGTAAAATTATCCAGCCCAAAAAAATGAAATGCATGGTTTCTTAGCTTTTTTAATCATAGTTTATGCCATATCACCTCAGATTCCACTTTGAAAAATCTATAATGATTGTATCAATTTTACCGAAAAGATTGATCAGCAATGTCAAATTTTTTTAACACTTTTGCCTTTTTCCTCTTCGTTCGGATCTTGTAAAGTTCACTTACAGCATCTGGTGGGCATCATCCATTTTGTCTTCTTCTCGTTACCCTTTCGAATATGTCCCGAGACAAGGACAAATGAATATCAGACGCCGGCGTGTATGTGTCTGTCTGACCAGTATACATGTGGAATGATGTCTTTTTGTGGCAGGGGGCAATAACCTGCAGGTTGTTTGATGCAAATATCGATTCATTTTTTTAGCTTGTGGTGTTCTTCAATGATGAAGACTATTTATCTTTAATGAAATTTAACGTTATTTGGGTGCGGTCTTTTTCATTTCGGTTTTGTTTACGTTGTCTAAAGTCTTCTGCTAACGGTCTACGGCGTTTATAACGCATAGACTCAATTCTTTGATAATCAGGCTTATTTTTCTGCGTGTTTTGGGTTGGATTGGGTCGGGTTTTGTTACACAAGCGCAGTCGTCAATCGAGGAATAGGGGCTACTCATTTTTATTACTCTCTAAACACAGGAATGCCAATAATTTTGTAAGCTCAGCCCACCTATCATGAGGAATTGTAGTATTGCAATCTTTACCTAATGACGAAAGAAGCGGGTTAAATTAAAGATTTACTGAAGGCCAAAAATTAATTTACCTTCCAGAGAGAGCCTCTATTAGTTTCGAAATTAGGCTGAGCTTGCAACAAAGTTTTTCCATTGCGGGATAGAGAAGGGAATGGGGTCTCAAAATCTACGCCTATGCTTCCTCTTTTTAAATTCATTCAGTAGCTGTCGGTTCCACCGTGTTTATTGTCCCTTTCCTTCGAAGAGTCCGCTTTGCACCATTCGTGATCTGTCGGTTACTGTAGGCATAAACCAGTGGATCAAGACATGTATTGAGCAGGGCAATCAAAATAGTGTACCGTGTTATTCTTATCATCTTACCCTGACCTTCAACCGTATCTGGAAAGTAATTCAGCGCTGTAGAAAGCAGCCAATAAATTCCAAACGGGGACCAGCAAACGAGGAACACAACGATTAGCATGCCGAGTAATATGCTGATTCGCTTTCGACTCGATTGCACGCTCGTTTGTGAATTAGTACGTTGCAGCCGCTGCAGAGACTTTTTGAACCACAGCGTGTGAATCGTGGAAATATACGTGAATGTTAACGTGCAAAGTGGTATAAGAAACGCTATCACCATGGTTGCAATGAAATACAGTACGAGGATAATGCCTTTTGCCCAGCGTCTCCAGCAGATTTTGTTCTCTGAATTGTAGTGGAATGATACACCGCTTGGAATGAGTAGCGATATCCCAACAGTCCACGTAAAAACGCAGATCCATTTGACACTGTGCTTCTTGACCCTCCATTTGTGTTTTGTTGGGTGATTTATGAGCATGTACCGGCTCAGCGACAATACACTGAGTGTTAGTAGATTTACTAATGATGCAGCGAAAAATAATGTCAGCCCTTCCGTGAAACCACACATCAAATTAGCTCCCGTGCCCTTTAAATTGGTTTTGGAAATATCCAAAAAAAGGTAAGGATAGACTGCTATTGCAGAAATAATGTCAGATATCGATAAATTCAACAACAGAAGGTTCACTGTGTTCTGTATCTTCTTGTCATTCAAAATAATGAAGCAAACACCAGAATTGCCGATGACTGCTGCGAATGATACAAGCACGTAAAAAAACTTTAGAGCAATGTCCTCACCTCGTGTAAACACGCTCGTGTTTGGTAAACTAATGTTTGCTGCCATAGAAGTATTTGGCCAAATTGGCGAGTTATTCATCCTCTGGTTTTTTACACAACAAGTCTGTGTATCATTCTAAAACTGCAATGCAAGATTCGTTGAGTTAACGTCCGCAAGAAGCTTTTATAGAATATAAACAAGTGAGGCATGCATGACAACAGTGCTCGGTCGTTCAAACAGACTCAAAGGCTAAAGCAAATACCCGAAATGGGTAAAAACTCATGATGTCCGACTTCTCTCCAAAACATACACTTGCTGTGTCCTCGTCAGTGCATCGTCTTTCCCGAACTAAGCTTCAGTTTCCGCTATCTTCCTTTTTCTGCGATCTGTTTTCGCCACACACCCGCTGCCAAACTGGGTTGCACAGCTATCCATTCACTGGTTCAATGCAAAACTTGTCATCAAGATTATCACTACTTCTTTATAGCTTCGCCGCTGAATTGAAATTCCCATCAGCCAATTAGACTTTGGCTGGCGCTTGGCAACAGCATCGGCTTCTACGTACGTATAGCTGTCAGTCTGAAGAAAAGATTTGTTAGCTACAAGATCACTACAAGATGAACCAAAACAAGAAATATACCAGTACTCAGTATACGAGAGATTTGCTTTCCATAAACAACAGGACAACATCAATTGTTTTGATAGCTAGATATCTCTCTCCTAGTGAAGTTTTATTTCCTGTAAAGCTTCTCAATTATTTGCTCGATTCTCTTTTTTATAGACTGGCCCCAAAATATGTTTATCGTTTGACATCACTAGATATTTAGCTAAATGCTCATTCGAATCTCAGATCAATTGGCAAAAGAACTAAATATTTGTTCTAGATGCAAATACAAACTTTTTAAAGTGTAACATCTGCTCAAGCTAGCAGCTGCTATGCTATTTTTAGAAGATATTTACAAACACGGGAAGTTTACTTGAGTAGTAGCGGCGCCATGGGGGAGACTAGGGATGGGACACATCCCCCCAGTTCACGGCAGGCTAAAATCGGTATTTCGTCTGAATTCGATTGAAATATGTTGAGGGACAGGTAATTTTTTCGCAAAGTGCTTTTTGTGAAAATGTGGGCGTTTTCTTTAGGTAAAATTTGCGTTCCTTATTGGTAAAAGGGCTTTACTGGTTTTAAAAAGGATTTTTTGCCCCCCCCCCTCCCCCGGGAGCCTAGGGGCTGCTAGCCTATCAATTTCGTTTATAAGAATATTTGCGCTCAAATCGTAAAGTTTTTAAGAATATTGTAAAAAACATTGGTTTCCAATTTTTCCGCAGTTGCCTGTTTTGCAATGCACATAGAAGAGAATCGCATAAAAGAGAATTGAAAAAATTGGAATGCTATAAGAATTCGGTTTTACGTTTCGGGTTGGAAACTCTCGTATAAGCATACCAGTGCCATGTTTTGAAAAGCCATGGCATGTTTCTCATATACCCAAAATCTACGGCATGTTTTGAAAAGCCACTACACCCATTTTGAAAAGCCACGGCACAAGTTTTGAAAAGCAACGACAAAAGTTTTGAAAGCCTAGCCATATTCATGAGAGACTCCATATATATCGCAGCCTCTTTTGTGGAAAAAATGTTAGTACAGGCTTGCATATTTGTGACTCGTAAGTTTTTTAAGAAACTTTGTAAAGTAATTGCAACTTGAAGAAATTTCATGGTAATTGCTGGCTGATTATAAGAACAGTTCGTAATTTTTGTTTTTGTCTCCCATGAAATTTTCTCAAAATGGTTTCTTCGATTTGAATCAGTGTATCAACATATATTAGTAGGTATGCAGTGTAGCCGTGGTTAGAATACCAGAGGGCCATAGCTCCTACTTGTTCTCAGTTATGTCGATTTTGTTTGCAAATTCAGGTGAAAAGTCTCTATAAAAATAGAACTGCACCGACACCTGCCATACATATATAATGACGTAGTTTATAATTATGTCATTTACAGTAACAATGTTTAGCTACATACAAATTTAAGCCCACTTACTTCTAAACCACAAAACATCGCAAAAATACCGTTATAGTTACTACCTAAATGAATTAAAATGATACTGATGAAATTCAAACAGATTTACTTGTTTGATATGAATAAAAAGTATTCTTTATATAGTTGCATTATTTCCCTTTCCCATTTTTCATTTATTTACTTCACTGTTTGTCATAAGGTCAGGCTAAAATTTGACGGAAAATAGGTATCTAACAAGGTCTATATGGTCAATTTTTTGTAAATAACTCCCTTCCTCCAAACACTTCCTCTCTAGGTTAGGGCGTAGGGTAACTGGGAGGGATGTTGAAATTCATAGGATAATCGGCAGTGTGCTTTATTTCAAAACCAGTGACAACCAAGGACGGATTTTAGATGCAAGGATTCGAGGGTGCAAGGTAATGAATGGATTTTGGTGCCACACCCTGCAGGTGTCTGGAAAATGATGGAAACGCTCTTTTGGCACTTCTCTTTATAACTATAATTTATTACACCATTACTGAATAACTCTACGGATTCGATATCACTAACTACCAAAATGTTTTCAAAGAATCACAGCAAAATTGACTGAAAAACACATGAACTTCACAACTTTCGTTGTGTCGATAAATTCTAACCTAGATCCGTGTTTTCTTATTTAATCTTGCGAAAACAAATGCTGATCCTATGGAAATAAAAACCTGACATAAATTTAGATAAATTTGAGACTTGCTGTAACATGCTTCCTCAACTTGTAATCCTTTCGATGAATGGAGGGATTAATTCATGGGTGCAACTTTCTTCAACTGATGAAGGTCATGTTGAGTTCATTCATGAGCCACTGCCCTCCCTGCACGGTAACTGGACTGCACGCCAGAAGAGGTCATGTAAGAACATAGGTTGCATTGGACTTGCTACAAGTCTCTCTGTATCCATTTAGTTATTTGAAAAGGCAAGTCCAAGGTTGCATAGTCTATCTATATCATTGATAGGTTGACTGAGGTTTGTAAACGAGGTTGACTTTGTTTGCCAGCGTATATCTTACATGTGAGATCATTTCTTCCTGGAAGGCAGTATTATTGCTCACAGTGGTGGATTCAAAGGAAACCGGGGTGGATAGTTGCCCCTTACTGACCTGATAATGATTTGGTGTTCATGTTCTTAGAACTGCTCTCCTTTTCAAGGGTAGACATTCTCTTTTCAGATCTGTTCTGTATCAGAGTAAAGGATTCAGTTGCATAGAAATTTTTCAAAATATTGCTTACTGATCAAAAAAGGGTATCATTTACATGGATCTCCTCTGCATATCACAAACATCGGTGTAGAAGCATTGGAAATAAAAGAAGGGTTGATAGATTGCTTTTCACAGGTTTTGTAAAGTTTTGTACAATTTTTCACCCAAAATTGTCGAGTTAGAGCTGACCACCGGTCCCAGCTCTATAGCTACCAGCCGCAGTCTTCAAAGACTCTTACACCCATGGCTCTAAATTGCATTCGAATCCCAGTTCGCATTAAAATGATGTTGCATAGTAATTTTTCAAAATATTGCTTACTGATCAAAAAGGGTATCATTTACATTGGTCTCATCTGCATATCACAAACATCGGCGTAGAAGCATTGGAAATAAAAGAAGGGTTGATAGATTGCTTTTCGAGTTAGAGCTCACCATATCGGTCCCAGCTCTATAGCTACCAGCCGCAGTCTTCAAAGACTCTTACACCCATGGCTCTAAATTGCATTCGAATCCCAATTCGCATTAAAATAATGTTTCGTAGAACTATGATTTTAGCTTTGGTTTACTCGAATGTTTGCTTTTTCAAAGCCATTTTCAACTATGATTTTAATGAAAATCTGCTTTTTATGCGCTCAACTATCCTCATTGTTTTCTTGTCCTCGTTTTGAGCACACCAAGCCAAACTACTATGCTTTCAGACGGTTTCCAAAACGTTAAAAGACGTTAACTGAGAGGCTCTATTTCATACACCTCTATGGGTGAATTTTATACTTTTTTACTTAAATTGTAACTAGAAATTAAAATAGACGGAAACGGGCAACCGGCTAGCTCCCCCACCCTCTTAAGAATGATATTCCCAAGAAGTATTCAAATCCACGTATGCTGCACTTGGTTTTAAGAATACTAACAAATTTTTGATCACACTTTCTTGATGACCACACGCTATAAAGTTTGCTTTGCAGCCCTATGCTAATAGGACTTGATTTCAACTAAATTGCTGTTAGATCCGTTTCCATATTCGTTTAAAATGTTATTATCGATTACTTTATAGTTCTGAGGCTACATTCTCAGTTTTCACTCAAACCGTCTACTCAAATGAAGTCGCAGATGGCTCAACGTTAGTCGTGCGCCTTGTCTTCAGTGTTTTGCGTGCCCCTTCTTTGATCTGGCGATTGCCAAAGGCATAAATCACTGGATCCAAGCATGTGTTCACAAAGGCAATCAAAATCATGTATCTTACCGCCTTTTGCTTTAGGATATCCCCTTCTGTAGTGTTTGGAAAATATTGCGTGGCAGCTGATAATATCCACAGCCCAGAAAAAGGTACCCAGCAAATTAAGAACGCAAGAATTAAAACTCCAAGGAGAGCTGTCACCTTCTTACGACTGGCTTGCACGCCAGAGACTGAGTTACTTCGTGTAAGACGACGCGTTGAAGCCTTGAACCATAGCGTGTATATCGTGGACACGTACGTGAACATCAACGAAACCAATGGTACCACCGGAATAAGGACAGTAACTGCGAAGAATGCTGTTTTGCTGACGCCCTTTGGCCAATAGCCTTTGCAAATGCCAACTTCTTGGATGTATTCGTAAGAAAAGAAGTTTGGTATTAGCACTGATATACCGGTAATCCACGTGCCGATGGCGATCCACTTTATATTGTGTTTGTTTATTCTCCATTTATGCTTTGTTGGGTGGTTGATCAAGATATAACGACTGTAAGAAAGTATACCAAGGGTAAGAAAATTGACCAACGTTGCTGCAAAGAAAAGTGGCAGGCCATCCTTGAGCCCACACAACAGGTTGGCCGATTTTGAGTCTTTGCTGTCAGATACATTTATGAAGAGGTAGGGATAAACTCCAATGCCAGCAATAATATCGGAGAATGAAAGGTTGAGCAGCAGTAGGTTCACCGTGTTTTGAATGCGCTTGTTCTTGTAGATTATATAGAATACAACTGAATTGCCAGCAATGTCAATCAACGAGACCAAAACGTACAAGGTTTTTAAGACTATATCTTCAGCTGATGTGAAGATTTCCGCTTTAGTGTCGCTTGTATTCAGAGACGAGTTTCCATCCATGATGTTCAGCCTTATGTAGAACTTTCTTCGTAACAAGAACCCACTACTATTCTTGCACGACCAGAACAACTTCAAACGTCGATGCTTCTTCTAAACAACTCATCAGTACTGTTCAAACAGCACAAAACGGAGCTGTGACGTCATGAGACAACACCAGATGCACTCTTGGGTTTGTTAGTTTTCCTTTCATCAACCTTTTGTACCGTACACCCTTCATTCAGAAGTGAAATAAACAAACTGTTTACTTCCCTGGTGACTGGCTGTTCTCTTTGTTATTATTGAATCAAAGAAAATAACTGTTGCTATGAGTCGAAAGCAAACCTGTCCTCTCCTTTGTGATCCATGACAGGAACCAAATCAAATCCGGGCAGGTATCCCATGGGACACGCGTCAGTCGGTAAGTACAAAGGTCATCCTTCGATCTGACAAGCGACAATTTGTCATTATGTATTCTTGCTCACCAATATTATTTGTGCTTCTTGAAAGCCGGAGTCTGTATAAGTGGAACTTTGTTAATTCATCTTATGGAGTTGCAAAAGATGTTTCTTTAATAGCAAAAATTCTCCATAGCATTGAAACAAAAAGATCTTGAGCAACGAAAACAACACTTACAATCAAAGCAAGACTTACACAGGGTAACAAAAGAACAAAAAACACTATTCCATTGTAATTACACAGTATTTAATATGAATGAAAAATAACAATTGAATCCAGATTTCAACCTCTTCTTTCCGTCCATTGTGTCAAGGACCCAGATTAACAAGATTGGTCTTTGGGTCGTTGAGAGGTCCATTTGCTTCCCCTTTCGAACTTTATTTAAAAAACTTTATACAATATCCTTGTATAGTTTCAAAACTTTTCTTAAAATGACGATATGTATTATGTTGCTCATGGTTCATAATAAATTTAAAAAAAAATTTTTTTAACAATGGTTGATTTGATTGCAAAAACTTTATCAGAACAATTCTACAAAACGTCTTTGCAATGAAAAATACTTTTCTGGTCTTACAGCTTTGTTGAAGAGATTTTCAAAGTGCAGACTATACACAAATGTTTTCTGTGCCATTTGCTTTTTGTGACAAATTATTGTGTTTTGAACTTACTATTGGTGTAATTTGAATATTATCTGTTTCATGTCTGTTTAAAAAATTAGTATGTTAGTCACTTGAACGAAGTATGGCAAAAATTGTAATTGTGGTCGGTAGTAACAAGATAAAATGTTGGTAGTAGGCGACTCTGACATTTGAAAGTCGATGTTTTATCTCGTAATTGTACTTCTATATGCCTCAATCTTTAAAAAGGGTATTTTAATTTGTATTGAAAGTTAGAATAACCCTTACTTTCAAGTTTTGAGGTATTAGCTCCTAATAAATGCGTGAGGCATTTCACTTTTGCAAAAATGTACGATATTTCAACCCAAAACAAAAGAATTTCTAGGAATTTTTAGATAAAGCAATACGATTTCCGCAAAAACGTACGAGATTTTAATGGAGTGATTCACCCTGCGAAGTAATGAAGAACATGTTCTTTTGTCCAACTGATGTTGCCCCTAGTTGTTGGCTTATGCGTCAATAACATTGCTTTGATCATGAGAGTATATTTTTCAACCATTTGCAGAATACGAGCATGATTTCATTAGCAGTATGTTTTTGAAATGTTTAACCTACGTACATGATCTCTTCAAACAAGCGAAATCTAGGAAAGCACTGCTACTGTCACTTCAGCGCTTAAGAATTCAGCCCTATGTAAATCAATACTTTCGGAGAATTGTAACGACGTTCAAACATAAGCGCGGAAATCCGCTGTTATATCCCCACACTGTTTCAGTAAAGGCTCCGTATTCAGATGTAAACATCTTGTTTATCCACTCAAAGTCATATACCTATATGAGGTTTTCTCGTGATGTCATGAAAGATTTTGCCAATAAAGTGAGACATCTTAATAGTAAACACTTAAGTTTTCATTTCATTGTTATATTTGTTTGTTATTTTTTTACCGTAATTATGATGCCACAAAAGAAGCAGGATTATTCCTTGCTCTAGTTGTTGCTGCTGTTTATTGTAGTTGTTGTTGTCAGTGTTTTCGGTATCGTTTCAGCTATCCTGCTGTCTTCTACCATCTATTATTCATTAACATTCAGAATAGATTTTTTACTATTTTCCGCCTTTCCAGTGTCTTCCCAATTATGTGTTTTATGTTTCTGTTCCCTGAACCATATTTTCTATGTCATATTACAATACGAAGAATCGTGCAAATTAAACTCAAAATCCACAGTATACACAAAGCACAAGCTTTCGAAAATTTTGTTTGTTTTCCTTTCTTAAAGAGATTATTGGATTCGCGCTATTTAATTTCGTGTTTGCTCTGACATTGTCGTGTTATGTATTTTCCATTCTGAAGAAGTGATATTTTCAACTGGGTTATTTTTTTTCTTATTATTTCAGTATTCTCAACGTGGCTAACAGCCTTCTAACAGCAACTTGCAGAAAGCTCTGCCTTTATGATAATTTTGACTTCTTACTGTTAAGTCAGAATGCACCAGAATCTTGTAAACTATAATACGATCTCAAATCAATATTTTCAGTTAACACATTTTATTTAACGAAGTTTTCTACTTCGAAATAAGATACTCAGGCTGCCTGGAAACTGGTTGTTTGATATCAAATCGCATTCTAAATATCATGCGAAAAAAGAGTGTCTGGTGCTTGCCTTATTCGAGATCATGATTCAACAATGATTGGACTTACAGATAATAGCAAGTCAAAGTCCAATAATTGACGCAATTTTCTCCAACTTTAGCGAAAAGGGTTTCTATTCATAACTAGCAAAGCTTAGGCCAACTTTGAGAATTTATTGGACTTTAAGCTTAAGATAATCTGATCAAAATATGTCTTTCTTTGAATATAGGCCTAAGTAATTCAATTTATTTGGCGTTGAGCTTGATGTTACTAAAAGACGTTTTAAGGTTGCTATGAGCGCCAGGATCCGAAAGGGTGCAACTGCGAACGTCCTTGGCATTGACATATTGAAAGAAGACCAAGGGAGAAGTCGCGTTCCCCACCTTTACCCCTGAACAATGCCTTATAGAAAGCTTATTGTTCTTAGCTGTCCAATAAGATTATCAGTGCCAATATCGAAGTTTTGAAGATATAGTATTTTAATAGGGGAGATAAAATTTTCGTGAAAAATTGAAGTTTTTTAACGAAGGCTTTTCTTTTCTTATCTTAAAACAGTTTTGTTTCATGATAACATATCTAATCTTTAGGTACCACGTTTGCAATGAGAATAAATCTGTATTTTCCCTCGACAGCTTCAAGATACAAAGACGAATGACAGAAGCATGACCTTCCTTCACTACCTGGCAGAAATAATTAGCACCAAATTGCCACATTTAAATGACTTTCACGAAGACTTCGATCTTGAGAATAGCACTAAAGGTATTTATACCTTTCTATTTTTAAGAAATTTTAAAACTTATATGAGAATATTTGCGACGAATCGGTTTACGAAAATTTTTGATATGGCATCCACTTCTCAAAAAATTTAGTGCCGTGATCAACGATAGAAGAAAATTTTGGGCTGTCTTCTGTGAATTGTGCTTTTCATAAAAAATGTTTCTACACGGTTCACATGAAAACTTTGTTTGTGCGCAGTTACTTAAATGGAGACGATCGTCGCTTTTTGTGCATGAATTCGTAGTCTGATGCCTTCAAGTGCCTTTTCAAAAGTTCCAGAATTCCTTTTTATTTCACAACCAGTTTCATGAAGATACCTTTGAGTGAGATGTTTTTCTGCAACTTTCTTTTCATAACCTATTTCCTATTTATTTTTTCTTATCATTTCTTTGTACCCGTCTTTGATCATACTTTTTTTCCTTTGTTTCTTTTCATCCAGCCTTTCATGTTTTATTGCTCCTCCTCCAAAGCTGTCTTAACACGTCATCCATCCCATCACTCATTTCAGAAATAACAAAAGCACCGTAACGTTCCCCTTTTTATCCATATTTTCTCAATATGTCTTCCCCTCCATATCTTTATCTCTCTATTTTCCTTTTTGTAATATTGTCTTTTATTTATATTTTTGCATTTCTTCCATTCTTTGTATTCATTTCTAAATTTTCTTGTCTCTCATACTTTCCATATTCAAATACTTTTTGTTCAAACCCATCAATCCCTCTTGAATTCACTTTCTTAACAATTATGTCTTTCCATATGTCACCCTTTCTTCGTTTAGCAAATAATTTCATCTCTGCCAGTATTCTCCTCCCAACATTTACTTTCAATCTACTTCTGTTAACTTTGTAATTTTTTGCTTTTCTATCTTCCAACACCTTCATATGTTGATATTTTTGCCAGCCAGATTTTCCTACGCATATCCAAACTCCTAAACCTACGCATCTTCATCTCAATTTCTCTTCTAGATGTTACTACATAAAATGATATTATTTTCAGTACTCTTGATTTATCATGTGATTTAAACCATCAGTTACGTCATCAATCCTATACTACCATATTATCTTTTTTCAATTTCGAAATTCCAGATTATCAAAAATTCAAATATAAAAAAGCATAGCTTGAAAATTATCTGTTTATTTCAGCTTTTAAGTCTCTGTAGAGCGTTCCCTTTGTAAAGCTAGTTTAGTTTTCATTAGTGTGAAGTAAACGCGATTTTTTCATTTTAGTATCACTCCAAATGATAGCAGCGGATGTGCAGAGTTTGCGAAAAGGTCTGGATTTAACCAAAGCAGAAAAAGACAGACAACCAAAAAATTTCATTATTTTTGTATCCTTTTCAACAATTCAGATTTTAACTCGTTCATACACAAGCTTTGATTAAAGGGTATATATGTTTGGAGTAGCATTTCAAAAACTATATCGTTATTAGGGCCTTACCCGCACATATACGTAACCGAAACAGCTAACTCGTAAATCAATTATTTATTGATCCTTTGTGTTTGTTTTTTTCGGAGGGTTGCCGTCATATTAAACCCTCCCCGTTACTTTTAGGCCAGGCCTATTGTAAAGACTCTAACTTTAAACAATAATAACTTTGTGGGATAAACCGCTTCTATTTAAAAGAGTGCAAGTTTAAGAGTGCTCTTCAAAAACAAACACGATCACTTGCATGAATTCGTTTTAAAACCTAGGAAAAGCTCTTGCTACTCTCGTGCTACTTTTTGAGCGACGAAATTCTTTGCTAAACATAAACACTTTTTAAAGCACATGAAAACATTTGCTTTACCGTCATGCAACATTTTTCAAAGATTTAAAATGTGCTTTTGAAAGTGACCGGCTGGATAATTACAGCTGTAGTTTCTCAGTTGAAATGAAAATAATTCAATTCTGATAGTCCCTTTATTAATCTAGGTAGGAGTCGCTCTCACCATTATTACTTAAGAAGTTTGCCGTCAAAGTGTCATATACATCTGTTCGTTTGCCGAGGTTTTGAAAATGGGTAGAAACAGATTTTGCTATTTTTAGGTAAAGGCGTTAAAATGTTTAAGCACGTTAATGAGTATACTCTTACTAAGATTTTTCGTCCTTGGCACCTTTATAGCAACAAGTTTATTCAGCCTTTTTTAATAGTCTTACCGATATTTTCATTATGTAACAATAAGCGATGCATAATCTATTCATTCATTTTATTGCCTGTATACCAATGAAGCGTCTCTTACAGTCATGATAATGAACTTGCAAGTCACAAAACACTTTAAACAGATTTAAGAGTGTAGATTTGATATAGGTATTCAAGCAGTTGAAAAGCTCCTCCTCTTTCCGGCTTGGAATATGAATAAAAGAAAAGCAAATTATTATCACTCAAGTATTTTTCTGCTCTTCAAATCGTGCTAATTCTTGCACTGCTATTATGATTGGCAAGTCTTGTGTTGGCATTAAGTGTAGTTTTCAATGAAATAAATTGACTTATAGAAGCTTTCAGTACAAAAAGTGAAACTTTAATCACAGAGATGACATCGCTGAAAATGTATATGAAAATTTCGTGTGCTGTGATAAGTTGGTCTAGAAGTGGAACTTGGGGGGGGGTCTAAATTCCAAATCCTCCTTCGCAGTATGATCGCAACACTCGTTGCAATGTTCATCGCAGTACCAGAATAATTTTCTGCCTCAAGTTTCTGTTTTCAATTTTATGTCAAAGTCTCAGATTGGCCAAATCAAGATTCCCAGTGCTGATCTATGCAAATCGCCTTTCCAAGTTTATCCATTCAAGATATTTAAGCAAATCGGTTCTACTAGCTGCAAGGGAATAGAGAGCAAATGAATAAAGGGCGTTTGTTGAAAGCCTGGTCCATTAAGAATGAATCAGAAAAAATGTTCACTTAACTGGTATATCAACAAACAGCAAGCCTAGAATAAAATTGATTCTGGTGCAAGCTTAAGGATTTAGTCCTTTTCTGTATAATGTGCCTTACCAAAGTATACCATGGATCATATAAGTGTGGGCTATTCTGGTTTTTTGGTATGACGTCATATAGAAGACTATTATTGCATGATCAGCTCTTTCCGCATCTTGCAGGCAATCAGGGCTGTCACTAACTTTTGTTATCAAGAGGGTTTCCCAGGTCCAATTTGCCAAACAAGTAGTTGCGGCGCCCTTAACTTTGCAACAACTTCGAAAATTTGCCCACTTAGCATCCCTTGATGGCTAATAGCTCCTTCTTTCTGCAACGGGATTTTTGCAAGGTGGTGTGACATCCCTCGCACTCCACCCCATTCCACACAACCTTTACTCAATCTGCAACATGCTCTTTGATGCTCACTTTGCTTTCTTTAAAGTTCCCGCTTTAAAGGAGACGCTTTTTCTTTGTGAGGATTCCATCTAACTCTCAACAGTTTTTTTACATATACGTGTCCATCATGCAATACATCTGGCCTTTTGGCAGATAATCTTGTTTCAGGAAGCCTCTTGTAAGCTCAGTTGAGAAAATATAATCTCCCAAGTTCAGATGGTCTTTGCGGATAAATGACTGTGATCAACGATCGCATCCTTTAAAGGGCCCCCGCTTGTTAAAAATATAGCTGCACGTAAAAGAATTATCAAATGTCATGTGTAATTAAACTAGAAGTATTCTGCGATGCTGCTTCATATCGCCCCTATCATATTCAACTTTCAATCTTGGCATGACTTTCTTACTCTTATATTTTCACTTAAAGACGCTTAGTCGTCTTAGTAACAGTCCTACCATTATGTAAAGTATTTTGACCAGGGCCCTGGACCTCAGAGAACCACGTGATTTGGACCACAGAGAACCATGTGACTGTTAAATTTTGATTGTCATTCATAGCTTCATGCCTCTCTGTATCAATCGCGAACGAAATTAGACTATTGACGGCCTATTATCATACATTTTGCTATCAACGTATGATTGTCGTGTCTAATCTGAAGTCTTGAATAATTTCCTTTTTATGCCTTTGTTCATTATGTTTTGTCTTCCATGTGTTCTATTGCTCATAAAATAGACCTTTCTTCGCTGTGTGCACCTTTCTTTGTATACGCATTAATTTCGACTTGGAAGGGAGATTCTAGCAAATGACAGTGACTCTTGCCAGATAGCCATGAACCAAACATTTCCCTTGCACAGAATGAGTTTTTCCCTTCAGTTAGCTGGAACTAATGTAGAGATCCTATTATCATTCAATTATGGCATTCTCTAGGATTTAAAGATGTGCTCCTTAACAGATTTTAGAACTTTTACAATCGTGCAATAACAAAGGTTCAAAAAGTCAGCGAAAGATATCGCAAAATGGATGAAGCATATAAGGAAGTTTGCAGTTTGTTTGGTGAAGATCCAAAAGTGAAAGAGCCATCGGATTTCTTTCGGGTTTTTATCGACTTCTCTAACCAGTTTCAAGTAAGTTACTCACATCTATTTCTAAATAATTTAACCTACCATTCCTCTTTTCTCCATTTGTCCAGGTAGGCCTGTCTTGAATTTCTGTATGTTTTGAAACACTTCTGTATGGAAATTTTGATGCAAAAAATATTGGCAATAAAGGAAGATATGCAAGCATAAACGGGTTTTGTTATTTCAGCCAAGATATTAAAACTGATAAATGTTTGTTTAGTGTGTTACGTCTACTCAGAAAGCTACTAGGCTTAGGTCGCATCGGAAATAAAGAATTTGCCAAACATTTGATGACACTTTTAGCAGTTATATTTCAAAGGCTTTTACTTAGAATACATTAATTTGATTCAGCAAACAGCATCAAAATTTGTTTGTCTTTTATCCTATTTATAATGCTTTAGCGTGCTTTTTATTGCTTTTTTGTTTATTCACGTATCTTACTTGTAGTCTGTTTTGTATGAGTAAAGCGCCTACCGCATTTCGTGCTGGCAGTATATATTTTGTGTTTAAAGGTTCTTCTTGATCAAATATAAAGATTGGGTAATGAAACATCTTAAACTAGCAATATTTATGCAAAACAAGCTGTCGATGGTGACCTATCTCTCTCACGCGATCATACCAAGCGTGCGCTTTATAGAAGCCTTTACGCTACACACCGGGGGCTACACTTCAACAATTGTTAAGAAGCTGTACTCTTGAAAACAATGAGGCGTTTGGAATCCAAATCAAAAGTTTCCTAATTTGTGCTAGTGCCCAAGAAACTTGCCCTTTTTGACAACTTTAAAAAACAATGGTTGTTACTTTAATTTATAAAGTTATGGCTATACAAACAGTATACTAAAGAAGTTTCAAGGGCAAGCACCAAAGGAAAAAGCATTTTAAAGCACTGGCCTTCAGAATACCAATAACTACCTACCAAAAGCTCAAACGTGTCTTTTGTTCACTCGTTCAAGATGTATACAGTTTATTGCCGAAAGAGTTCGTTTCCAGTGTAATTTAGCCGAAACAGACAGTACCTTAATACAACTTTTTAGCAAGACACAGTCGTTGCAAGAGAGACAGAGAAATCCAGGTAGTTAAACTGAGACTTCTTACTTTAAAAATGAAATAAATCTTTGCTTTACCCTATAGAGAATTGTACGTGAATGATCGCTGATGCCTCACTTGAATTAATTGATTGGTAATTTCTTAATTTCACGATCGTTACTAGCATTGTTAGGATATTCCAATTTTTTGGGCGATTATATATCTCCATAAATATTTTCACTTTTTAGAAAGCATTGCTAGAAAATGAAAGAAGCAAGCTGAAAACGGTCATGAACTTTAAACCGGACATCAATTCACAAAAACAGGTTGCCCGAGAGGCAGCCTCGGTTGCACAGAACAGGAAGTCGCTAAGCGAGGCCCAGATGCTATCTATGCAGCAAACAGACTCAGGTGGCCTAATGAATAATGATTCGACTAAGAACGGCTGGAGGCAAGTGAATGGTAGGGCCTAAAATTATTGTGAAAAGCTCATCAATAATCCACCCCACCCACTGATCCTGTGACTGCTTCAGGCTGCAAGTTTCGCCAATTCAATCAATCGTTAGATTAATCGCTGCTGAAGAAGTATTGGTTTCAATGATGTAATGACAATGAAGATGTTTTTTGGGCTCTGATTCTAGCTTATCAATCTAGCTGGCTGCATGTGCTAATGATTATGAATGATATTCTTGGAATGGATTTGTTAAAACGAAATTATGTTGCTTTTGAGTAAGCTTTTGCTGCAGATTGTGAAAGTGTAAAAAATATTTTGTACATAATTACCCAACAATGTGAAAGCCAACTGGCGATGTTGTTTTGATACGCCTCACAACGAGTGGAGCTTTATCAATTCTTTTATGAGAACTCAATAAACCCGTTAAGAAGCTTTTGGTTAAAAGAACTCTGATGTTAATATCTTAACTTATAATTATTAATTAAATACCACTAGTGAATTCTTTACCAACAGGTTAGTTGTCACCCGTTACCAATGTCTCAATGACCGCATAACCGTTGGTTCATTTTCAACTCTAGTGAAGTAAAGGGTGCTTTAGAGGTCCACTATCCCAGACTACCTGATATAGGCCCTTCTTCTTTTCAAACTACTTCTTTATACGATAGTTGCAATATAAGTTTTCGATCTATAGCGTCTGGAAAACAGTTAATTCAGTATTTTCCTGACTGTTATTATCTTGAACTAAGAATAGGACGTGACGCAAGTCTCCCGGTTAGTCACTTGCAGTTAGAGAAAATCAAACGTTGTGTGTATGAAAACATGGTGTAAGTTATTGATTTTGTGCTGCCTGGTGTAGTATTATTTGTAAAAAAGACGCTCTATACGTTGGGTGTACGCTATCCTTCTATGTTGACATTAATTCCTCTGTTGGCACGTATCTGTATATATTTGCGTCATCATGAAATAAAAAGATTATTTTGCTCATTTATAGAATACTAAATTATTGCGTATAATCCCGATGCAATACAATAATAAATTGAAGCTATGGTTGATAATTTTCATAATAATGCATATTCTTTATACTATTAACTAATGGACACGATAACTAATGTTATTGTCGGTTGTGTATTTCGTATCTTAATGTTTAGATGCTTCTCATGAAAACGCTCACGTTTTAGAGTCAGAAGCTGCTCCCGCCCATAACCAGTACTTAACGACTGTATCATAGTCAAAGACGTTTGATTAGGTTTATTTCAAAATGGCATTTACTATCCAAACTCCCACAATACTATGTACTGTAATACATAAATTCATTTTAAATCATAAGTAATTCACTTTTCCCGAACGTCAATTTGACCATTGTCAGAAAAGTCAAACGACCTCACCGCCGCTGCCCCTGAAAGAATATGTCAACTGTTACGAATTTTGTCCAAATTAGGCCACATCTTGACGCCCATGCAATCATTTGGGTGGTGATTCAGACGTTTTTTTATAAGTTTTTGAATACACCTATGAACGTGTGTCATTTTCAGGTAAACCTGAGCCAACGCGACCGCGACAACCTCTCCAAAACGCCGTTCTCTCGTAAAATCAGCATCCAATTTTTACTCGTCTTGTATTTCTAGACCCTTATCAAGCTTTTTTAATGGATAGTGTCATGTTTGGAACTTTTAAAACTTTTTTCAAAGGTTTAGTTTTACCACCGAACCAATCGATTGATTTATAACCTGTTATCGATAAATTTAGACGTTCATAGAGCCAATAGCAAATTTTTTTAAGTGTCCGTTATTGTGTTTATGGTGAGAGAAAAGCTATTAACTATTAGAAATATCGTTAGCTTGGAAATATGAGCTATCAACAAGAAGCCATTCTTTAAAACTAAAATTTCTTGAAAATTGTATAAATTTGATAACGATCATTGTTTTCTGGAAAAGCAGTTCAGTATTTTTGCTTCATCTTTACACTAAAAAAACTGGCAGATAAAACTAATTTTTAATATTATCCATCTGTTTACTTCATTGACTCTGAAGATAAGAACGTTTACAAAGACAAAATAGAACGGCCCCTCTAACAGAAAGGAGAAGATTTTGCGTGATTTTGCGAAGATTTTTTGAAGATTTTGCGAAGATTTTGAGAAGATTTGGGGAAGATTTGGCGAAGATTTTGTCATTGAACATCTGTAAAGTTTAAATCAGCACCCATAGTTTCTTCCCTGCGACTTTTTCCTGTATTCCCTCATTACTGGAAACACTCGTTTTTTTTAAGAACTAGTCGCTAGCTATTGTGCTCAAGGGTAGTGCTCAGGATCAGGTCCCATTTGCAAGAAAATTGGTGAGTCACTCTTTATTTACCGAGAAGTTTGAAAGACAGAGCACCCCTAGATGCCAGAAAACTCCTCAATATTGAAGTGGAATTGTTAACCGGGTTTCACAACTTTGTTCAAAATGACATTTTGCAGTACCTCAACCTCAACTTATTCTTAAATTGTCTTATCTTTTGGCCAATTTGGAGCCTCGTGTTCTTATAGAATTGGTTTTACATGAAATATAAATCTTTGTGGTCATCAGATTTATAATAAAAGAAAGTGATTGCATAAGGCGAAGGGATGTGCATGTGAAGCGGAGATTCTCTAACGTCGCAGATTTTAAATGCCGCATATCTGCCAGCGAGATTTATTCAATTTTCGCAGCATCATTAAATTGCTACAAAACCATACAATGGCAAGGAGCAATTTCTTTTGAGAATAAAACAAATTATTTTGGCAAAAAACTTAAGCTTCATAAATCGATTTTTTCCCAACCTTGTAAAGCTTGTGCTTTTTTACTAATTTTGTTTTTGAATAATTTAAAAGAAATACTAAGTTTTTTCTAATGCCAAATAATTGACCATGCAGAGTTTTGATCAAGGGATCTTTCTCAAAAATCGACGAGCTCTCAAACCTTATAGCCTTACGTTTTGACAAAGAACTCCTATTCAAAAACCAGTAATTCTCCAAGGGAAATCATCTTTACACATCATCGTGCTAAGACCAAATAGCACTCTTAAGTATAAACATAAACATGTAGTCCTCTAACTGTTTTTTTTGGAAAAATCAACAATTTTACAAAGCCTAGAGCCTAAAATTGTGGAAAAAATTTTCGAGAATAAATCATATTTTTACGTCATCAAAAAGTGTTGAATTCGATTTTCAATATGTTAATGGGTTTTGAGTAAAATAAAAGAATTGATTTCTCATTTCTGGAAAAAGCATCGACTTTTTAGAAATAATTTTTTTTGTATAAACAAGCTAAATAAATTCTGTACAATCAGCAAGAGTTTCAATTGCATTTAGTTTGGAGATAAAACTCGTATTTCCGAGCACGTAGTGATTTTGACAAAGGCAGGCTATTGGCTTGTGAAAATTATCAATTCTTTTTAAAGATCCCTTCTTCCAGAAACCAGTTAATTAGCTTCTATACAATCAGAAAACACTGAAATTTATTTAAGTTCGTTGAAAAAAGTCGTTTTTAGGACCATGGTGTGATTTTAAAGAACGGCTCATCCTTGGCAAAAGAGTAAGGTTATAGCCTTGGAAAAACATCAACTTTTTAGAAAAAATATTTTCTTCTAGAAACCAGTTAATTAGCTTCTATAAAATCAGAAAACACTGGAATTTATTTAAGTTCGTTGAAAAAAGTCGTTTTTAGGACCATGATGTGATTTTAAAGAAAGGCTCATCCTTGGCAAAAGAGTAAGGTTATAGCCTTGGAAAAATCATCAATTTTTTAGAAAAAAATTTTCTTCTAAAAACCAGTTAATTAGCTTCTATACAATCAGAAAACACTGGAATTTATTTAAGTTCGTTGAAAAAAGTCGTTTTTAGGACCATGATGTGATTTTAAAGAAAGGCTCATCCTTGGCAAAAGAGTAAGGTTATAGCCTTGGAAAAATCATCAACTTTTTAGAAAAATATTTTCTTCTAGAAACCAGTTAATTAGCTTCTATTCAATCAGAAAACATTGGAACTTATTTAAGTTCGTTGAAAAAGTCGTTTTTAGGACCATGATGTGGTTTTAAAGAAAGGCTCATCCTTGGCAAAAGAGTAAGGCTATAGCCTTGGAAAAATCATCCACTTTTTTGAAAAACATTTTCTTCTAGAAACCAGTTAATTAGCTTCTATACAATCAGAAAATACTAGAATTTATTTTAGTTCGTTGAAAAAAGTCGTTTTAAGGACCATGATGTGATTTTAAAGAAAGGCTCATCCTTGGCAAAAGAGTAAGGCCTTGGAAAAACATCAACTTTTTAGAAAAATATTTTCTTCTAGAAACCAGTTAATTAGCTTCTATACAATCAGAAAACATTGGAATTTATTTAAGTTCGTTGAAAAAAGTCGTTTTTAGGACCATGATGTGATTTTAAAGAAAGGCTCATCCTTGGCAAAAGAGTAAGGTTATAGCCTTGGAAAAATCATCAATTTTTTAGAAAAATAATTTCTTCTAAAAACCAGTTAATTAGCTTCTATACAATCAGAAAACACTGGAATTTATTTAAGTTCGTTGAAAAAAGTCGTTTTTAGGACCATGATGTGATTTTAAAGAAAGGCTCATCCTTGGCAAAAGAGTAAGGTTATAGCCTTGGAAAAATCATCAACTTTTTAGAAAAATATTTTCTTCTAGAAACCAGTTAATTAGCTTCTATACAATCAGAAAACACTGGAATTTATATAAGTTCGTTTAAAAAAGTCGTTTTTAGGACCATGATGTGATTTTAAAGAAAGGCTCATCCTTGGCAAAAGAGTAAGGTTATAGCCTTGGAAAAATCATCAACTTTTTTGAAAATAATTTTCTGTTAGAAACCAGTTAATTAGCTTCTATACAATCAGAAAATACTAGAATTTATTTTAGTTCGTTGAAAAAAGTCGTTTTAAGGACCATGATGTGATTTTAAAGAAAGGCTCATCCTTTGCAAAAGAGTAAGGCTATAGCCTTGGAAAAATCATCAACTTTTTTGGAAAATATTTTCTTTTAGAAACCAGTTAATTAGCTTCTATACAATCAGAAAATACTAGAATTTATTTTAGTTCGTTGAAAAAAGTCGTTTTTAGGACCATGATGTGATTTTAAAGAAAGGCTCATCCTTGGCAAAAGAGTAAGGTTATAGCCTTGGAAAAATCATCAACTTTTTAGAAAAATATTTTCTTCTAGAAACCAGTTAATTAGCTTCTATACAATCAGAAAACACTGGAATCTATTTTAGTTTGTTGAAAAAAGTCGTTTTTAGGACCATGATGTTATTTTAAAGAAAGGCTCATCCTTGGCAAAAGAGTAAGGTTATAGCCTTGGAAAAACATCAACTTTTTAGAAAAATATTTTCTTCTAGAAACCAGTTAATTAGCTTCTATACAATCAGAAAACACTGAAATTTATTTAAGTTCGTTGAAAAAAGTCGTTTTTTAGACCATGGTGTGATTATAAAGAAAGGCTCGTCCTTGGCAAAAGAGTAAGGCTATAGCCTTGGAAAAATCATCAATTTTTTAGAAAAATATTTTCTTCTAAAAACCAGTTAATAAGCTTCTATACAATCAGAAAACATTGGAATTTATTTAAGTTCGTTGAAAAAAGTCGTTTTTAGGACCATGATGTGATTTTAAAGAAAGGCTCATCCTTGGCAAAAGAGTAAGGTTATAGCCTTGGAAAAATCATCAATTTTTTAGAAAAAAATTTTCTTCTAAAAACCAGTTAATTAGCTTCTATACAATCAGAAAACACTGGAATTTATTTAAGTTCGTTGAAAAAAGTCGTTTTTAGGACCATGATGTGATTTTAAAGAAAAGCTCATCCTTGGCAAAAGAGTAAGGTTATAGCCTTGGAAAAATCATCAACTTTTTAGAAAAATATTTTCTTCTAGAAACCAGTTAATTAGCTTCTATACAATCAGAAAACACTGGAATTTATTTAAGTTCGTTGAAAAAAGTCGTTTTTAGGACCATGATGTGATTTTAAAGAAAGGCTCATCCTTGGCAAAAGAGTAAGGTTATAGCCTTGGAAAAATCATCAACTTTTTAGAAAAATATTTTCTTCTAGAAACCAGTTAATTAGCTTCTATTCAATCAGAAAACATTGGAACTTATTTAAGTTCGTTGAAAAAGTCGTTTTTAGGACCATGATGTGGTTTTAAAGAAAGGCTCATCCTTGGCAAAAGAGTAAGGCTATAGCCTTGGAAAAATCATCCACTTTTTTGAAAAATATTTTTTTCTAGAAACCAGTTAATTAGCTTCTATAAAATCAGAAAAAACTGGAACTTATTTTAGTTCGTTGAAAAAAGTTGTTTTTAGGACCATGATGTGATTTTAAAGAAAGGCTCATCCTTGGCAAAAGAGTTGGGCTATAGCCTTGGAAAAATCATCAACTTTTTTGAAAAATATTTTCTGTTAGAAACCAGTTAATTAGCTTCTATACAATCAGAAAATACTAGAATTTATTTTAGTTCGTTGAAAAAAGTCGTTTTAAGGACCATGATGTGATTTTAAAGAAAGGCTCATCCTTTGCAAAAGAGTAAGGCTATAGCCTTGGAAAAATCATCAAATTTTTTTTGAAAATATTTTCTTTTAGAAACCAGTTAATTAGCTTCTATACAATCAAAAAATACTAGAATTTATTTAAGTTCGTTGAAAAAAGTCGTTTTAAGGATCATGATGTGATTTTAAAGAAAGGCTCATCCTTGGCAAAAGAGTAAGGCTATAGCCTTGGAAAAATCATCAACTTTTTTGAAAAATATTTTTTTCTAGAAACCAGTTAATTAGCTTCTATACAATCAGAAAACACTGGAATTTTTTTAAGTTCGTTGAAAAAAGTCGTTTTTAGGACCATGATGTGATTTTAAAGAAAGGCTCATCCTTGGCAAAAGAGTAAGGCTATAGCCTTGGAAAAATCATCAACTTTTTTGGAAAATATTTTCTTTAAGAAACCAGTTAATTAGCTTCTATACAATCAGAAAACACTAGAATTTATTTTAGTTCGTTGAAAAAAGTCTTTTTAAGGACCATGATGTGATTTTAAAGAAAGGCTCATCCTTGGCAAAAGAGTAAGGTTATATATAGCCTTGGAAAAATCATCAACTTTTTAGAAAAATATTTTCTTCTAGAAACCAGTTAATTAGCTTCTATACAATCAGAAAACACTGGAATTTATTTAAGTTCGTTGAAAAAAGTCGTTTTTAGGACCATGATGTGATTTTAAAGAAAGGCTCATCCTTGGCAAAAGAGTAAGGCTATAGCCTTGGAAAAATCATCAACTTTTTTGGAAAATATCTTCTTTTAGAAACCATTTAATTAGCTTCTATACAATGAGAAAACATTGGAATTTATTTAAGTTCATTGAAAAAAGTCGTTTTTAGGACCATGATGTGATTTTAAAGAAAGTCTCATCCTTGGAAAAAGAGTAAGGCTATAGCCTTGGAAAAATCATCAACTTTTTTGAAAAATATTTTTTTCTAGAAACCAGTTAATTAGCTTCTATACAATCAGAAAACACTGGGATTTATTTAAGTTCGTTGGAAAATGTCGTTTTTAAGACCATGATGTGATTTTAAAGAAAGGCTCATCCTTGGCAAAAGAGTAGGGCTATAGCCTTGGAAAAATCATCAACTTTTTTAAAAAATATTTTTTTCTAGAAACCAGTTAATTAGCTTCTATACAATCAGAAAATACTAGAATTTATTTTAGTTCGTTGAAAAAAGTCGTTTTAAGGACCATGATGTGATTTTAAAGAAAGGCTCATATTTGGCAAAAGAGTAAGGCTATAGCCTTGGAAAAATCATCAACTTTTTTGAAAAATATTTTCTTTTAGAAACCAGTTAATTACCTTCTATACAGTCAGAAAACACTGGAATTTATTTTGGTTTGCTGAAAAAAGTCGTTTTTAGGACCATGATGTGATTTTTAAGAAAGGCTCATCCTTGGCAAAAGAGTAAGGCTATAGCCTTGGAAAAATCATCAACTTTTTTGGAAAATATTTTCTTTTAGAAACCAGTTAATTAGCTTCTATACAATCAGAAAACACTGAAATTTATTTAAGTTCGTTGAAAAAAGTCGTTTTTAGGACCATGATGTGATTTTAAAGAAAGGCTCATCCTTGGCAAAAGAGTAAGGTTATAGCCTTGGAAAAATCATCAACTTTTTAGAAAAATATTTTCTTCTAGAAAACAGTTAATTAGCTTCTATACAATCAGAAAACACTGGAATTTATTTAAGTTAGTTGAAAAAAGTCGTTTTTAGGACCATGATGTGATTTTAAAGAAAGGCTCATCCTTGGCAAAAGAGTAAGGCTATAGCCTTGGAAAAATCATCCACTTTTTTGAAAAAAATTTTTTTCTAGAAACCAGTT